TGGTTTTCTAATAAAAATAGCGAAGACTCTAATTCACAGGTGGTTTACTTTTACAGGAGTCAGGATGACATTACCATTTTCATCTCACATAGGAGATGACGCATCTGGGGGTTGCACTCTGCATCTAGGGAACACAAGCAGAGGACTCAGGAGGAGGACGTGTCAACCTCTCCTTTTCTCTGGTTGTGAGAGCATCTTTTTATAAGAGAATGCAGCCAAAATCAAGAATGTAGGTGATCTGAACATTTGGTCTCATTCAGATGAATCTTAATTTGTTGGATTTGATATAGCATACTAAGGCACTGATTACAGAGAAACGGTACATGAATTCATCACGGAGACAAAATTAAAATGGCCAACACTTTTCTCCTAGTCAGTGTCATTAATAGACAGTGTAAATCCTTGAAAATGTTGGGATCTTGTCTGGGTTTTTCCTGATGAAGATAGGTTCCTAGATTTATGTCCCACTAATCCACAGTATCAGTGAGAGCAGAGGCCGTAAGGACTAAAATGTATTATTCAGAACGGTGTCTGAGGAAGGAATCTGAAATACTACTAAATAGCTAATTTCATTCTTTAAGGAGAAAGAAACATTTACCAGAAGACCAGCACAGCCAAACAAATGCTAAAATTTCTAGCGAGCATCTCCAGATATAGGCGACATAAGTCATGTGGTAAGCAATAAAAATAAAGAATGAATGAATCTACCTATTGCATAACTGTAAAGTAAACCCAAATAGCTAAATAAAATTTTTTTTTAAATCATCTGAATGCAATGGCAGTACAATACCCAGCCGTTTGCACAAAGTCTTCAGCTGTGTCTTAGCAGGACACTTGCAGTGTGGATTCAGACTCCCTTCCGCCCCCCCTCCCACTGGAGCAGAAACCCAGAAGCCCTCCTCACTCACAAAGCCCTTGGTTTTACCTGTGCAGGGAGAATTTCCATGAGTGTAACCACACCAGAATCTCACCAGGAGCTTGGGAGCGGCCCCGTCCTCTGGCTCCCACCTTCCCTGTGTCTGCCTGTCTAGCATCCCACCTTCCCTCATACGTGTCCTGTGACTCACATTCCCATCCTCTCCTCATTTTCCCAAACCGTGGATCCCAGCAACACCTCCTTTTTTTGCTGCCTCCGAGTCTGGCCTGACAGGCAGATCTGCCATGTGAAACACTCAGACCACTTCTTAACTACCCACTATTGGGTCCTGTGAAATTTCTAATCACTGCGAGAAAATCCATTTCATCCATGTTTACTCCCCTTCAAATTTAGCTTTCCTATGTGACCTGAAAACTGCCTATTTCCTGAAAACACTCTACTACGAGGTTTCACTTTTTCTCATCTTCCTTGTCTTGGCGGAGGAGAGCAGGGCAGCTGAATCATTGCCCCCGACGTTCTATCTTATGCGTTTTTTCTTTTATTCCCTCCATGGTTTATCCTATCACCTACTGAGTTCCAGGACTTATTTCCAGCTTGATGAATGACTTCCGGGCCTGGCTTACGTGTTCGTCGTCCATCATACCTTCTTTTCATCCTTGAGGACATTATCATCTGTCTCGGTGACTCATCTTATCCTAAGACCTCAGAATTCCTTGTCTTCTGTTTCTAATCTGAATCCACCTTCCCCACAACCCCACCACTTGTGAAGTGCAAGAATTCATATTCTTCAGGAGATGTAAATACACATGTGCAATGGCAGATACCTAATGCAGGACAGTAAGTGAAACAGTCATTCATAGCGTGCTGTGGGAACACAAATGAAGGTCACCCAAGCCCTACTGGACGTGGAGAAAAGGATATCAAAAATCCACTCCTGGGGGCTTCCCTGGTGGCGCAGTGGTTGAGAGTCCGCCTGCCGATGCAGGGGACATGGGTTCGTGCCCCGGTCCAGGAGGATCCCACATGCCGCGGAGCGGCTGGGCCCGTGAGCCATGGCCGCTGAGCCTGCGCGTCCGGAGCCTGTGCTTCGCAACGGGAGAGACAAAAAGAGGGGGCCCCCCCCAACCCAAAAAAAAAAAAAAAAAAAAAAAAATCCACTCCTGGAGGTGGGGTAAAAGGTAAATAGAAGTTGGCCAACAGACAAGCAACAGTTGTAGAATCTTCCAAACCCAAATAATTGATTTCATTATACTGTCCTGCTCACAGCCCAGCCCAGCAACCCATTTCTCCGGCCAGTTTTAAGCAGGAACTTTATAAATTTTGAATACAGTTTCCAAAATTATTTTCATAAAAGTTAGACGGGATCCTCTTTAAATCTTTTAGTGCATACCCAGTGTTCACAGGAAAATGTCTGTTCTTCACTATGTGGCCACCGGTTACCTGTGTAGCCCCTTCCCTCATCACACTGCACAGGGCTGCACCTCGAGATGGTTTGTCGTCTTCTGTTCCTTGCCTAGTTTTTCTGTCCCACATTCGTCTTTTCCCATCATCCCTGGAAAATTTTTATATCCCCAAATCTAGCACAATTCTCAAGATAAACCTACTTTGATTTTTGGAACGGCTGTTAGAAATGTCACTAGATGATCTTATTTGCAAAGCAGAAATAGAGACACAGACGTAGAGAACAAATGTATGCATACCAAGGGGGAAAGGGTTGTTGGTGGGATGAATTGGGAGATGGGGATTGATACATATACACTATTGATACTCTGTAGAAAATAGATAACTAATGAGAACCTACTGTAGAGCACAGGGAACTCTACTGACTGCTCTTTGGTGACCTAAATGGGAAGGAAAACCAAAAAAGAGGGGATATATGGATACGTATAGTTGATTCACTTTGCTGTACAGTAGAAACTAACACAACATTGTAAAGCAACCGTACTCCAGTAAAAATTTTAAAAATAAAATAAAATAAAAGTTGATTAAAAAAAAAAAAAAGAACAGGGTAAGGAGTAAAAATAAACCAAAATCCAATCCAAGACCAAAAAAAAAAAGTCGCTAGAAGAGATCTTAGTCATCCCATGCAGCTGTCTTCCTGCCCGGGGTCTCCACTGAATGAAGGGAGTAGAACTAGAATCCAGCTCTTCCACCACCATCCGGAGGTCTTGTCCCCATGGTGCGCTCCCTTCATACGTTAGTTCTCCCAGAGTGGTCATTACTGCTTCTACCCGTTCTGTAGTATCGCTGCCTCTAACTCTCTGGGAGTTTCATTTCGGAACCCAAGTTTGCGTGAATTTTGCTTCGGGGATTGAGTTTCCTGCAGCGAGTTACATACCACAGTCGACAATGAACAGAAAGATGACACGCTCCCTCCTTCCCAAAGCCTGCCTCACAGATTTGCTCTGTGGTGCTCACAGACAGTACCAACTGTTCTTCCTGTTGACTGCCAAAATCATTCAGCAGTTGGGAAGAAAAAAAAAAAACTCTATGAATTATGGAAAATCACTAGGGAGAGAGAATGGCACTACAATGGGGGGAAAAAGTGACAATTCTCTGTGGCCACCCATTGAAGTACCCGCCTCGAATCTCAACCAATTTAAAGAAAACTAAATGAAGAAGGACATCTAGTCAACCAGGGGCCTCTGAAACAGGAGAGCGGTTGAGGGCTTGTCCTGTCCATCCAAGTGGCTAGCCCGACTGCCATAATGCAAGATTTGAGTCTCAATCTCTTGCAAAACCGCGTGCTCCATTAAGACGACAAATCTTGGCTAAGGGGAGAGCTACATAAGATGGGAAGTGACAAAAGATGTTCGGAGTAAACTCCGTTTCCATGTGAAAAGCTTCATAAGCTACCTCTGGCCAAGCGCTCTAATGGCAAGTCTGACCTGTCAGCCTTTTTGGTACCTAATGGTGTGTATAAATGTACCAGCTTCGGGTGCCCCTTTGACATCTGACACAGGCTGCAGGGGTAAGTGGTGGTGTCAGCATTTTAGTGTCCGCAGCCCATGCTTGGGAGCACACGTGTTGGTCTCTCATCTTCACGGTGTTTGTCTCAAGTGCTAAGAAGACGACTATGAACGTATCACAAGGTTTGCCTGAGCTGTATTTTTTCCGTATCTAACAGGACGTCACCTCTGTGTGTCCACAGCTCTTCATGTTAGTATTTCCCAGGCTCTTCTGCAGTTATTTACGTCTGAGCATTTCCACTGTGAGCGTTTCCATTGTGAAGGGCATTCCTCACACCTACCACAGCCCTGTGAATTCTTAGAAAATAAGCACAACACACCAGCAAATTATTTTGAAGACGCGTGGATATGGCTTATTGTTATGTGTTTTTCAGAACTTTCTTTGACAGTGCTTCTCATCAATAGTGGAACATTTGGACTGGCTTGCACACCACCAGGGCTTTTACTAGAAACTGATTCGGTAACATGCTGAAATTCCTTTTTTAAAATTCTAGACACGAATGTTCATTGTACAGCTACTGTTTAGGCAGGCGTCTAGAAGATTATTGCTCAGAGATGACGACGTGAAGACTTTTTACTTTTGTGCTGCGGTTCTATCGCTGCAGTTGTATAAACATTTGATTTATAATAACGTATGGTGTAGTAGAAAAAAAATCATTGAAATGAAACAGTTTTGTGCATCACGTTTAAGTTGTTTTTGTTTTTGGTCTTTTTGTTTGTTCACTTTTCCTTTTCACAGACGCAACCTCCCTGCTTTGAGTTGCGGAAAGAAAAGGATCATAAAATAAAGATAAGGGTTTAGCTCTGGGATTTGGGAATTCATTCATGGGAAAGGTTGTATCTTCCAATGAAGAGTCAAGGCCCGTGTTTTCCCTTTGTGCTGCAGGGGGCAACCACGACAGCTGTGGTGTATGGGTATTTGCAAACATTAGTGACAATGTATACACACAGCAAACATACTTATTAGAACAAAAGCTTGGGGATTCTCACAAAATGTAGAAGTGTTACAAGAATACGGCAGATGCACTGGGATAACTTTGGTGAGCTTTGCTCCTTCAAATCCTTTTCTGGAAAAACCTCTTGCCTGATTATTTTCCCGTTGTTATTTTGGCATCTTCATGCTGTTAAATGTTTCCCTGCTGTTTGCCTTTTAGATCGGTGTTCGAAAAGTATTTCTGAAATACTGGCATGCCAACCAGCTAAACGATTTGTGCCTACAGCTGCAGAGAAAAATTATCACCTGCCAAAAAGGTAACAGTTACACACGTCACAGTAACAGTTCAGTGACATTTCTGAACTTTGATGAGTCGGAAAATACAAAATCATTTAGTGAACCCCCAAGTTTAAATGTTAGGGAAACCTAACATTTAGGTTAACCTAAATATTAGAGTGGACCCTGCCATGGCCCTATGTCCATCCATCCCATGGCGCTACCTTCAGGCAAATAAATAGGTTTCAGGAGTTTCAGAAGCACTGTAGCTAAGTTGGCTATTTACTTGTCTCTAGATCAGAGTGTGCGGCCACAGCTCGTGCTTTATCTCGTGATCATTCTGTCTGTAATTCTGCATCACATTTTCACCTAAGTCATAGTTTGGAAGAGGGGCTATACGTACCTTGTATTTTATGCATTCCTCACCTGTAAAATATTCATGCTTGCTGACCCTCCAAGAAGCACAGGACAAGAAGAGTGTGCCTTTGAACCCACAGTGGGGAAGAAAACACAACCCATGTGACAGTCGGGCGCAGCTCTGGAGCCAGACTCCTAGGCCACGCCAGTCAGCGCCCCTTGGTATGCTAGAGTTTGGAGGACTGCCACAGCCCATTAGCCAATGTATGCCTTGGATTTATGTATGCCTTGTAATTTAAGTAATTCCATGTATGCCTTGGATAAATGCTTGACTATTTTTCCTTTGTGAAGGGATAATAATATTTGGACTGTTAACTTTGAGAGCAGATAGCATCTATTTCATGTTAACTTTGAGAGTCCATTTAGATTTTTTTTTTCTATCAAAACCCAAGTGACCGCCAAAAATGGGTACATTTTAAAAATCGTAACTATGCCTCACATAAAACATACATACTTAATAGATTTTTAATTTGCTTAATAGTTTAATTGTATTATATATCTCTAAAGAAAGGTAAAAAGGGGAGAAATTAATCTACAGGCTAACTTTTGGTGGAAGCAGCCGTGATGAGCTTAGCTCTCTAATCTATCTGAAACTATTAAAAACAAGTGCATCTCAGAGAACACGGAAAACTGCCTCACCCTGTTCAAGCCTCTGTCTATGCGAGCCCCTGGGGGATTCCTTCAGGCACACCCCTGGCTGAAACCTCTGATGGGTCCCATCATTTTCTGATGATAAAAAGTCCTGCTATATGCTGGTCCCTCAGACAGACTCGGTTCAGAATTTAGCAAGTCCAGTCCACGGGAAGGTCAAAAGTCAGAATCTCATTCCAAGTTAAATCGTCCCTCTAGGCTCCCACCCTTACCTTACTTAGGTGCCCTCCGGGGAGGAGGGAACAGCTAAGGGGACAGGGCCACCCCTCAGTCCGACCCACACCCATGTGACCTGGCCTGGGGTTTCTCTGGCCAGCAGGCAGGCAGGGGTTAACAGGCTCTCTGCATATGTGGGCGCCTTTCAGCCCTCACCTGTGCTACCCACCTGGGAACCGCAAAATCTCTCCTTTGGGTGCCACTTGGAACTCCCCGTTGACACTGCCTGTGGGCCTGGGTGCTCTCCAAGAGGAAGTCTCTTTAAATGACTCCTGGCAGGCGTCTCTGTCTCGATAAACAAGGTCTGGTGTCCTAGAAGCACAGTTGGGGACCCTGACAAGTGAGCCTCTCCCCGTAGAGCCGCCCTGCATTCAGCCCCTGGCAGCGTCGGCCTCCCAGGCCACCGTGTCCTCCAAACTCCAGACCATGTGGCAGGGTCTCTGGCTGGTTCCCTGAGGCCACTTTCACCAGCCTGGTGTTCAGGGGCGGTGGGGGGAGCCCCGGGTGAGGGAGGCCCTATGCAATCCTCGCTTCTCTCTGGGTTATAGGGTATAGGTTATACCTATATAGGGTTATAGGGTAATAGGGTAATTTGGGTTATAGGGTCATTTGCCTTCTCTGTCCTCATCAGTGTAGGGAAGGGCTGGGCTCCCAAGTCTCCTTTTGACTCTGTCGCCTTTGCAATTCCTTTCTGTGTGGTCAGTCCAGGCATGCCCTGGGAGCTGGTTGGAAATGCAGAGTCTCAGGCCCTGCCCCAGAACTCCTGAATCAGAATCTGCATTTGTAGCCTCAGGCTGAAAGTGGGATGGGGAGAGTCTCCTTTACAAGACCAGTGCTCTACCCCCCGGGCTGTGGAACCAACCGAGAATTCCATTTAATACCGCGTTTGTACATACATGGAGCGGGTATCACTTTCTCCTGGAAATTTTCCTACATGTAATTAGAAGGCGACGTACTCTGTCTTCCATCAGGGGTGCCCGCTAGTAATGTCTCCTCTGGTTGGTTACAAATGTTAAGTCGCTGTGCCCTATGGACCTGAAACAGAAGAAATTAGCAGAACTGTAGTTCTTTCTTCACCCCTAATGATAAAAATTGAGAATGGTTTTTAAAAAATGGATACAAACCACAATTTCCTATTGCATAAATGAAATAATGGCTGTTAAAGCATTTTTTTAAATTACAGGCTCTTAAATGCAAAGCATTAATTATTGATTTTTATTTTTACATCTCTTAGAACCATTGCTTCGGTCCTTTCTGCTAGTATGAAATTCATTCAGAATTTATATCATCTGGAGTCATTTCCAGTTTTTTAAGAGTTCTCATTTTTTCTTTGTAAATATTGGGTGGCAGAGAGCTGTAGTTACACCTCAGTCTTAAATTTAATCATTTCAATTTCAAATTATTCCCAACAGAAGTTTCCCTCTGACTATATACCTTCATTTTATCCTGCATGAAATTGTCAGAAAGAAACAAGTATTAATTATCTATTTGTGCCAAATTTATTTGTATTAATTGTCTCTTAGTAAAGGTACCATGTTTTAGCAACTAGTATAAATTTTTTTCTTTTAATTTTCAAAGTTTGCTAGTGCAAAGTGTGAGAAAACAGGGTCTGGACACAGGACAGTGGATTCCCAGGTCTACGTGGATCCAATGAACAGTCCTGCTGTAGTTGGAGGTCAGCAGTCTGGCCTGTCCACATTAATCTTCCCTTTATTCCAAGAGATTACACATCTTAAATATACCCTCCCATTGTCAATGTCTAGATTCTGTTTAATGTAACAGGAATGAGCGAATGAACAGAGAGCAGGCCTTCTGCCTCTCTCTCTCACTGTGCCTGTCACGTGGCTAAAATTTCTACATTTTATTCTGCATTTTTGATTCCTGGGAGTCTGATTGTACCTTGAGCTGTTTAATTTTTTTCTCTTTTAGATTAGTTCAGCATGACTGTTTTTACAGTTATCTTAATACACTGCATTCCAAAGTAACTAAAGACTTAGTACTGCCATCTGAGAAAAAGTCTTGAGCATTTTAGACGTCTGCATATTATTTGCCTCTGAAGCCATACTTGTGGAAAGTTGCGTTCGCCCTTCCATCTTCTAATCGAGTAAAGGCATCTAAGTGAATATCCTAGACATGTATAGATACCCACACATTTATTCTCCTATAGCCGGGAATATTTTAAAGCACTTAATATTTTATAGGAGGAGAATAAAGTGTCTTTGTTACCCACATTGGTTTTCCCTACAATTATAGCTCTTCCTATAATCCGAACAACTGCTTCTAATCACAGAAACTTAGAATGAGAAGGGACGCATCCTAGCATCAAATCAGCATTGCTCCCACTCATCTGTCAGGAACACCCCTGAGCGGGGGCCATCCTGTTTCTTGAACTTGCCTGGGTACTGGGAGCTGACTCTCTCCCATGAGATGCCTGATCTGTTTACAACCTATGCTCATTGTTAAAACGTCATCTTCATATTGATCCCAGATGTGCTTCCCTGCACCTTCCCTGTTGTGACCTGCTCTCTGGAGAGCTACAGATTGCATCCACGTGGCTGCAAGGTAGAGTCTGGCCTCATAAGGGCAGAGGTTTGAATCCCCGCTCTACCGTTCTTTGGTTGTGTTTACCTAGAGGAATTTTCTCAGCCTCACTGAGCTTCTCTTTCTTGGGGTACAAGATGGAGATACTGGTACATTAATGGCCATCGAGTTTGGGCACTGAAAGATGGGTTGGAGCGCCTAGCACGTGGCAGTGCCTTTACACGGTGGGCGTGACTTTTATTTTCAAGTCTTACATTTGTTACTGACACATAAGTGATTTCAAAGTGTGTTCATCCACCTGTTTCCCCCAATTCTTACACGTTTTTCTAGCCCTGCTTCCCCAGAAAGCAGAAGGATGACCCATATTTCTACACAGTCTCTTTCCAGAGCCTTAAATGCAGTGTTAGTTTTTCTAGGAGTTAAGTCACAATCCTGTTAGCAATATGTGCCTGGTTTTCAAAGACTACATCCGTGAGCCTCAGACGTTTCTGTTATAATCTGATATAAAATAATGTGATTGGTGCATCCCCAAAACAGTCTGATGAGAGCCACACCCAGAATTCTCTGGGGTTTGGACTTAGTTCTTTCCATCAGTGTTCAGCCTGTGTTACCACAAGAAGGAGGGAAGCTTTATTAGAATATTACCTGCACGATCTCATTCAGGGTAAGGATTTTTGCCTCCACTGTTAGCATTACTGAATATAGATATCTTTTTTAATATAAGGTTAGAATGTTTTAGTAAAGTCCTAGACTGGGTTAAATATATTTTATTTTAGAGCTGCTCCAACGTAATGTATTTGGACTTGTTGATGTACATCTGGGTTTTTTGCTTTTGCTCCTCTCGTTGACCCATCACTTTGTTCTTTTACTGAAGTTATCAGAGGATTTTTAGCACGTCAGCACTTGCATCAGAAAAGGAGCATTAGGCAGCAAGAGGTCACATCCATCAACAGCTTCCTGCAGATTACAGAGGACCTGGGGCTTAAGACCTATGATGCCCTGGTCGTGCAGAACGCCTCGGACATCGCCCGTGAGAATGACCGGCTCCGGAATGTAATGAACGCTACTTTCCACAAAGAGAAGTTGGAGGCCAGGAACAAGCAAGAGGAAGGAACCAAAAGGTAAAGGCAGATAGTGTGCAACTTCGGTGACCTACGCGATTGATCCTGGGGCGTCAAGAAAATGCCGATAGCCCTTAACGCAAAGTTCAATCACTTATGACCGTAGGGAGAGGAACAAGCACGTATGCATGCGCAGTGCGTTACATGAAACCTCCTGACACCTGAAAAGATGCTTTTCCCGGGCTTTCCTTCCACAAAATAGATGCTCTATGTGTTAGTTTAGGTCCCATGAAATAATTGCTTCACCTACCGTGCTTGCGTCACTGACCATCTCAAGCACAAAGTTTTAAGGCATCTAACCTTTACGTCTTCGCAAAGATATATAGCTTGGTTCTCGACATCTTTATGCAAGTGTCACGTATATAAATAAGGCTGACTCCTAGAAACTTCTGAAAACCTGACCCCCCAAATGGAGAAGACACTCTAAAAACACAAGAGCAGTGAAATCAATGAATGGTTGCCTGTATTATATTTCCCTTAGGAAACTGTCACATCTTCTTTGCCAAAAAGGAAAGCTCTGGGGAAAGATTTTTAATTTAAAGTTCACGTTGGACGCTGAGCTTGAAATAGACATGTGAAGAAAACTAAGTCCTTCTCCACTTTTCCACTCTTGTCTCTCTGTGACAGACGAGGACACCCGTGATTTACAATCCTCCCTGGGTCTTTTCCTCCTAATTTGCTGTCAGGGAGATGTTTGTTTTTCCATAGGAACTTAGTAATGTCTAGTTGTTTCTCCCTGAAAGTGACCCCCCTCTGCCTTGACTGTGATGTCGAATGATTTTTTATTAAAGTGGAAGTGGTGGTGTGTCTCTCCCTAATTAGCCTCAAATATCTCAGTGATTAAATACTGAAAAAATTCCCTTTGTACGGAAAACTGTAATTAAACATTACAGGGAAAACAAATTATCCACCGAGTGCCACGCTTTCGTCTTCAGCTAGTTCATTTCCTATATGGGCGTCTGGCTCTGCCTGGCAGTAGATCCCAGCTCTGTTGGTGTTCTGCCACACAAAGATATAATTATAAAAACAAATGCTCGGAGACTCCTGGTAAAATGAATGCATTGGCATCTCCCTGGCACATGATTCCATTGACATGTGAAGCCAGAAGGAATTGTTTTTAACCAGATAACTATTAATTTTATAGGACTTCCAGAATAATATTTATTATTTTCTCTGCTGGAGCTAAACAGCCACCCCAATTTCTCAGTTTCATTATGTATTCATTTGCCTGATATAAAATTAAGTGAAGAAGTATTTGTCTATTTATTTATTGAAAACCAGCAGTTCACTTGGCATTGGGCAACCAGATGGAATAACAGAAGAAAAATAACAATTCTGCACATAATTAAATAATTGCTGATGGAATTTAAATGGCAAGGGAGAGAGAGAGAGAGAGAGAGAGAGAGAGAGAGAATGAAAATCTTTGATCGTTTTAAGTAAAGCATCTGCTCTTTTGCAAGGGCAAACAGAGATAACTCCCAGCATCTGATGCATCAGTAACTCTCTATTAAGATGGATTTCCCAGAAATTATCATTCAGATTGAAATCCTGGCTTTTTGATTTGCTTAATAATCAGGGTGTGAAAACTTCACTCAGCGAATGCCTGATAGCAAATGTGGCACTCCTTACCACATCTTGGGTTCCGGTGAGATTTTTTTCTAAAGTAATAATGAAGAGTCTCGAACGTGTTTATTTATCACGAAGCAAGGGCTGGAAGGATGAAGTGGCTTCCTCTGGATGCGCTGGATACCAGAGCGCTGCACGCATCCTCCAGCCTCGGCGGGAAGGCTGTTTACCAAAAAGCTGTGATTATGTCTGCTTGAGCCGGTTCATTGTTCCCATCTGAATAATGCATCTGGGTCTCTCTGGCGGGGCTGTTTGTGTTTGTTTCCCCACGCACACCCAGAGCTGAAGACAAGGGTGGACCCAGGCGCCTCCACTGCAGCTTCGTCCCAGTGCCCATGGCGGTAGACAGCCTGGTCCAGTCCCAGGCTGGCCCATCCACCCCGTCTCCTTCTCTGCACTCGGTGCTCAGCCTGGATGACAGCAGCGGCCTCCCATCACCACGGAAACAGCCTCCGCCCAAGCCAAAGAGGGACCCCACCACGCGGCTGAGCGCCTCCTATGAGGCTGTGAGCGCCTGCCTGTGGGCTGTCACCAAGGACTCCTCCAATGAAGGTTAGCCTCGGGGAAGGGGGACCCCAACCCCCGTTGGGTTACTGATGCTTGACTCCGGTCTTTGAGTGCGCCGCGGCAGTACTTTGCCCTAATGTATTTTTAGTAGAATTAAATCCGTTGTTGGCTTGCCAGGGGCCCCCCCCTTTCTTTTTAAATTTTTATTTATTGATTTTTGGCTGCGTTGGGTCTTCGTTGCTGCACGCGGGCTTTCTCTAGTTGCGGCGAGCGGGGGCTACAATTCATTGCGGTGCACGGGCTTCTCATTGCGGTGGCTTCTCTTGTTGCTGAGCACGGGCTCTAGGCGCGCGGGCTCAGTAGTTGTGGCTTGCGGGCTCTAGAGCGCAGGCTTAGTAGTTGTGGCGCACGGGCTTAGCTGCTCCGTGGCATGTGGGATCTTCCTGGACCAGGGCTCGAACCTGTGTCCCCTGCGTTGGCAGGCAGATTCTTAACCACTGCGCCACCAGGAAAGCCCACCAGGGAAGCCCACCAGGGGCCCTTTAATCATTAAACATAAATAATATTAATTCTAATCTCTAAGCCTCTTAGGGAAAAGCTACTTATATATCATTTCCTTAACTCCTCTCCCGACTTCCACATTGAATGAGGAGCCTCAAACCAGAATAATTCAGAGAGTCGGTCGCTCGTCCACGTAAACTTTTGTGAATTAAAAAGCTAAAAAGATTCATCTGGCTTCCCTGTTATCACAACTTAATTAAAAATTAAGCCTGCTTTATCACCACACAGTAAAGTGAAACGATTCATGCAGAGGAGAATCATGACTCAGCAAAATTCAGTGAGTGAAACTTTGGGGACTAGACAACAAAGGTCTCTGCATTGGTGGTCTAGACGTATTTATGCAAAACCACAGTTTATTCTCAATTAATTCTCTCATAGATTAGTTCATGTGATATTATTGCTTAACTTTTAATTTTTAGAATTGTGCAAAGCAGAGGAAGTCCTTCTTTGCAGAACATTTACTAACTTCACAGATTTTACTTATCACCCATGAGTATGAGGTCCTATTCTAGGCCCAGGAAGGTACACAATAAATAAAACAAAGTTGTCTTCCCCCATGGGGTTGGCATTCTAGTGGGGAAGACAGATGGTAAACACAATAAACAAATAAATACACGGAATAGTTTAACTGTTTTTTTTTTGTTGTTGTTTTTTTGCGGGGCCTCTCACTGCTGTGGCCTCTCCCGTTGCGGAGCACAGGCTCCGGACGCGCAGGCTCAGCGGCCATGGCTCACGGGCCCAGCCGCTCCGCGGCATGTGGGATCCTCCCAGACCGGGGCACGAACCCATGTCCCCTGCATCGGCAGACGGACTCTCAACCACTGCGCCACCAGGGAAGCCCCAAGTCAACACCTTTTATGCCCAGTCCTGTTCTTATTAACACGTGCCTTTCCTAGAGGTTTTCATCCAGTATATGCAGTCATAGTGAAGAGAGGCCGGCCAGAGGGCTCGTTTTTCTTCTCTACCTTTGTGCCTGAAAAGCTGGAAGCAATTTTATGGGCCAGTAAATTTTAACACTCGTTTGCAAACTATTAACAAGCGAGAGCCAACTATTTGAAAGTGTGATTTTTAAAAGTTCGGGGTTGCTTTTTGCAAACAGAGACTAGGAAAGGAAGAACAGAGCCGCGACTTCTCTTCTTTGCAGGGAAGCTCCCAGCTGAGGGCTTTGCTGAAGAACTGAGTATCTAAACCCAATGTGACGGCTTTCTCCCCAACACAGGGACCCCTGGATGGTGAAATAGCACAGGACAGGTTTTGGGGGGCAGCTCTAGGCGCCACCACTTACGCCTGGTGATGTGAGATGCATACCCAGCCTCCCTCAGACTCCAGCCACCCGCTCCTTAGAAATAACACCCGAGGAATCCGTATTTCTTAGAATTGCCGTACAGCTTCCCTTTGTAACAAAACACAGTTTATATGTATAGACACGAGAATGGTTCAGCTGTGTGGCTTCATTTGGAAATAGCGTTACATGTCATTCCCTTTTTTATTGTCTGGTTTATAAATTTATTCTAGAATAGCACTTGACACCCAGTAAGCACTCAGTAAATACTTATTGAACAAATAAATCAATAGAATAGAAAAATATTTCTTTGTGCTGCTTTCGTGAAAGCGGAACTAGCTTCTTATCAGTAAATCGAAATGAGCACAATTTGGCAAGTTTCAACATGTACCCTTGAGATTTGTCAGACTTTGTCAGCATTATTTTTAACAGAATCCCCTTTATAATATTTTTTTCTCTTACCTGAAATTTGATGAAAATTAGGTCCTCCGTGAACGCTGCCCTGAGAATGTGTGACGGGGCATAACAGGAGAACATAATTATGTTTCACAACTTATGGCTCATTTGTCCATTCAACACATGTTAATTCAGTGTATTCCACTCCCCCAGGGCCTTAGAGACCAGTGGGCTAAGAAAATGGGAAAACAAATTATGGGAGAGGCAGAGTAACAGCAAGGGCACCAAAGAGCACAGAGCAGGAGGGGCTAACCCTCACTGGGACCTGTGGAAGGGGTCGAGAAGGACATTTAAGAGGCCTTACACACGTGGAGGGCAGTCAGTGGGGAAAGATGGGCCGAGAGCAAAGGTAACAGACTCCTCCCTCAAAAAAATGACCTAGCAAGGTTGTAATCTATCGCAGCTCAGTAGAAGCCCTTCTTGTCCAGTTTGTAAGCTGGTTGCAAATCGATACTGACCTCACTCAAGTATGCAACAGGCCCACCAGCCAGGGAACTGGCTTTATCTAGGCATCCTTCACGTCTTAGGTCCTGAGAAGGGCACACAGTTTGCTCTGAAACTGGGCAAAATCACACTGGAAGAGTTGGAAAACAGAGGATAACAACACACACAGATACAGGTATTTTCTTGATGAACGATCTTCTCATTTCTTTCTTCTCATAGATTTAACATGTAGGCATCTTATTCTCAGTGAGAATGGGGCCAAGTAACTTGTGTCTTGAGGCAAAGTCACCGACATGCCTTAGCCAAAAACTCAAAGGGAAACTATTTTGTACAAGAAAATGTTTACCTCCTAACAGAATCTAAAAATGACACGAGTCCCTAGATCATTGCACAGTAACTCAGATAAGAGTCAAGTTTAAGAAAAAATGAGAGGGCTTGAGAATGTGGGATTTATTCCTTAAGTTACTGTTAGGACACTAAGACTTGCCCTGAAGGTGATCTGTAACCATGAAATGTCTCCCTGATCCCATCTCACTTTTATCCATAAATTCAAGGACTAAAAAAATTGTTAAGAAAACTCTTAATATAAATTCACTCTTAACAGCCCTTAAATCCTTATTTGCAAATGAACAATTAGCAAGGACTTGTGTGGACACACACACACACACACACACACACACACACACACGCAAAGGAATAACCATAAAACCAAATTAGACTCTTAATTCTCTAACTGTGGTATTCTAATTTCACTTTATGAAGAATGAAGCTTTCCAGTTCCCGGCCCAGATATTCTAATTTGGTAGTTACAGACAAGGACAGGAACTGTGCTCTTTACATCCTCAGTAAAGCACCCCAGGTGATCTGATAGTGATGAACTGCAGACCACGCCCTACAGAACCCTGTTCTATGACTCATGACTAATTTCTGGTTCTGTAGTAATAATATGATGTTGATGGGAACAGCTGACACTTACAATTGTTTGTCATGTGACAAGCACTATTCTAAGTATCTTCAATCTTTAGAACTACCTGATGGGGTGAGACTGTCACTGTGACCCCTCTGTAGATGTGGATGTTGAGTCAGGGGAACGGTGGTGTATCCTGTCCCATGCTACACACCCAAGCAGGCAGCTTCCAGAGGCCAGTCTCTCAACTGCCTCCCGACAACCCATGCTACTTTTATTTATCATCGTTTAATTCAAAAAAGCTTTTCTCTGCATCTAAAGCAAACCTTGAGGGAATATCATATCAGCTATCTATGGTTGCTTACCAACTCCTCCCAAACTTGGATATTTAAATAAAATACGATTATTTTATTACTGTCTCAGGTTCTGGGTGTCAACTGGGCTCATCTGAGTGGCTGTCCCTCAAGGTCCTCCATGAAGCTGCATGTGGTGGCTGGAATCGCCTGTGAGCTGGTCACTTGCATGCCTGGTGCCCATAGATGTCTAAGGACTGGGACTGCTTGGCCAACTCTGTGTCTGGGTGGTCTCTCCACCCAGTTTGTGCAGCCTGGCAGCGTCAGGGTAGCTGGACTTCTTACGTGGACAATCAGTGTGTCCCCGGCGCCTGCTCCAGGAAAGAGAACGCCGGGCGGTCACTCTCTTACCTTTGACGAGCAGCCTTGGAAGCCACACAGCGTCACTTCCACCGCTGCCACCAGACAGTCTCAGAGGCGCATCCAGGTTGAGGAAGGTGAAATAGACTCTAACTCTTGATAAGACTGGGAAAACTACTGTGGCCAATTTTTGGAAAATACAGGCTGCCTTAATCCATCCTCTGGATCAAACAATTCACATCCCTCCCACATGCAAGAGGCACTCATCCCTCTCCCATGCTCCCCAGAGCCTTATCCCATCATCACATTGGGCTCAGGTCCAAGCCCCAAATCCCATCATCTAAGTCAGGTCCAGGTATCCTGGCTGCTCAGGTAAGGCTCCTTAGGTGGGCAGCTCCTCCAGGACTGTCCCTAACTATCGAAGACAAGCTGCCTATTCTCCACACAACTAACATGTTGCTTGTGCCTTGGTTAGGATTTAGTCCTGGTGCCCGGAAATTATTTTCCATGGCCATTAGGTCCGTGCTACAGAATCTGGGCTCACCTTTGGATGTTATTTCCTCGTCCACAAGAGGTGACACGTTTGGGGCCGGTCGTTTTCTCAGCCTGATTCCTGCTCATAAACTTTTGAAGCACCAGAGCCTCTTTATTTTGTATTGATCGTACCTCTTTCAACGCAGCCGATACAGTTCCTTTAAAAGCGTTGCGAGTTTCCTGTGAATCAATTTATAATCTACCCCTTTAGTCAAAAGCCACATCCACAAATCTCCTTGAGATAATCTCCTCTTGACTTTTTCTTTTCTGCAAGATTTCTGTGGGGCAGTACTCTTGATATCCTTATGAGTCCTGTGGTTTTGTTTCTTTGAAAAGGTCCAGTGAAGCACCACCTGACATCTTTCTGAGGTCTTAATAAAGGGGTTCATAGTCATGACCTCGGCTTCAGCGTTAGATCCTGTTTTCCTGAAAATGCCCCAGATTCAATCTCTGCTTACAAGTCATTTCTTAACTTCGGAGTTATTTACTATCCTGATGGCCCAGTGAGAAACTATTTTATTTTCAAACTCAGAAAGCCCAGGCTCCTTTATAGATAATCGTTTGTTCTTTCTGTAGCTTATCTCTTTACCCTCATTTTCCTGCAGGAAAGTAGAAGAATCCAGGAGGCTGCTTGTACACTTGGTCTAAAGATCTCCCTCCCTAGATCATCCAGTGCCTTAAGTGTGTTGTCTGGTTTCCGCAGTACCGCAGGTGACAGTGTTGCTAAACTTTCCACAAAGGTATAAAAAGGGTTATGTTTCCCTCGGCGTCCAGCATATTTCTTACTTTCCTTTAAACATCACCAGGAGCTTTCCTGGGCGTCACGCTTCTGCTAACAGTCTCTTCAAGACCTCTCCTCCTTCCCTGGTGGTCCAGTGGCTAAGACTCCACACTCCCAATGCAGGGAGCCCGGGTTCGATCCCTGGTCGGGGAACTGGATCCCAACGTACCGCAACTAAGAAGTCTGCCTGCTACAACTAAACATGCCACGACGAAGGTCCCGCCTGCCTCAACTAAGACCCGGCACAGCCAAAATAAGTAAATGAATAAATAAATATTAAAAACCAAAAAACAACAAACTCCTCCAACTTCCCAAGGCTACTGCCAGGCTTTTACAGTTTGGGTTTTTGGGCTTTATGGCAGCACTCCACTTCCAGTACCAATATCTGTATTAGTTGTCCATTGCTATCTAACAAACCTCTCCAAAATTTAGTAGCTTAAAATGACAAAGGTTTTATTATCCTCTCTCTCTGTCTCTCTCCTTCTCCCTCCCCCTACCTCTCTCTGTCTCTCTCTCTCTCTCTCTCTCTCTCTCTCTCTGTCTCCCTCTCTCCCCATTCTACTAGTTGGGTATCAGCTAAGCCCTTCTCATGCGAGCTCTCTCACAGCTGTGGTCAGACAGCGGCTGGGCCTGGGATGGTCCGCAGGCTCAGTTCATTACATTTCTGGTGTCTGGGCTGGGGAAACCTGGACAGCTGAGGGCTGGAGCAGATGGGGTCCTCTGGCATCTCTCTCACCTCTGTGTGGCCTCTCCACATGTTCTCCACAGCATGGGTGCTTCAGAGTAAGCAGTCTTCTCACATAGAGATCAGGGCCACCAAGAGATGTGTCCCGAGAGAGGAAGAGCAGGCCAGAAGCTGCACTGCCCCTGACCCAGCCTCAGCAGGCAGGCGGCCTTGCTTTTGCCATGTTCTACTCATGGGGCGGTCACAGAGGTCCTTCCCGCTTCAAGGTTCTAGAAGAGCACGAAGGACTAAAAATATTGTTGAAGCCAGTTTTGTAAAATACAAGCTGCCACGAGTCCTTTAAATTATTCAGATCTTCAGAACAACTCTGTAACACTAATGTTAAAATTTTGTCTGGTTCATTAACTTTCTAGGAGAAGCTTATGCGTTGCTGTGTTTTAGTACATCGAAAGCCTTTGCGATAACGCTCATTAATTACAGAATTGTGCATTTGGGGTATTTTCTACTCTTAAAAGTTGGCTGCTTTGGTGAACCCTGTACAATACTGGCCTTCAAAGATATCCATTGAGTTAGAAAATTAACTTTGTTCTTTTCCATTCCCATCTGGATGTCTCCCATTTGTTTCATGTTTGCGAAGCACTTTACATACATTGAGTTAAGCCCTTTACATGCATTATTTTATTCCTCTGAGATGATTAGTGATATCACCATTTTAGGCATGACTATACTGAAGCCCAGAGAGATGTGACCAAGACCTCTTTTAAAATTATAATTTGCACCGATGCCACCACGCAAACACACACACACACACACACACACACACACAGACCCAATTCTGTGACGATTATGGCCTGTAGTTTCCCACCTCATAGCATGTATCATGTTCTAACATGCTATGGAATTAACTCATTTGTTTTATTTACTTTTTTTATTGTCTGACTTTACCCAGGAGGGCAGAGGAAGGAAGGGGACAATTACTGCATATTCACTAATGTGTCTCTGAATAAATACTGGTTAAATGCACGACTAAATGAATGATAGCATGAAAGGGTGGTCATGCTGGGGTTTGAATCCAAGCCCAGCTGACTCCAAAGCCTTTAATTTTAACCCTAAAAGTGGAGTTGTCACTCCGAAAGTGGAGACGGACACTCTCATATATGCAGTCATAATGAGAGAAAAGCCTGGCTGCCTTAAAACTCAGGAACTCAGCAAAATTAGATGTGCTTATTCAGATCAAGAATTCCTACAGATTAGCAAAGCACCAAATTGGTAAAATAGTTCAAGATATTTGAGAAGTTTTGATATTTTAGTAAAACTGTGTGTAATTTTCTAAAATTAACATCTTGGCTCCAGAGAAATTATATTTAATAAAATCTATAATTTACAGTAAAAAACATTAGAAAAATAAGTCTTTTAGAATTTTTTAACTTTAATAAATGTTTTGAGTCATATTTAAGTAGTTTTTCTGCCTCTTTAAAAATTAGTTCTCGCTAATATTATGCTCTTTTGTTTTTCTAAATATCTTCCTTCTTTTCAATTTACGAAGTTGCCACTGAAGTTCTTAGTGAAATACAACACTCTTGATTTCCCTGTTAAGTGTGTTAGGATTCAGATATATTAATTAACTGTAAAACAAGCCCTTGGCATCATTTTAACAACGTTCTTTTTAGGAAAATAATCTTTCCATGCATGTAGTTGTTTTCAATGGTGTTCTGTCGTGTTCGTTTTAGACCATTTAAATAATCCAGCTTAGGTATTTCCTACAGGAAATACCCACAGGGCACCAACCCGCTAATTTGCTGGTTCTCTCCAGTCTCCTATTTTCTCTTCTCTAAAAGCCATGAGGAGCAGTTCAGCCAGTACTTAGTCCACACGTGTATCAGGCCCTCAGAACCCAGGCGTAAGCAGGTGCCAGTGCAGATGGAAGGCGCCCACCCCGCTGCATCCCAGCCCTTCCCGCTGCAGGCGGCTGGCAATCCTGGGCCTCCTTACGGGCCACCTTACCTCTTCCTTGACTGGTGGCAGTTGTCCTCCCCCTCCGAGATCAAAACAGGCTTTTCCCCTTGGCAGTCGTGTGAAGTGCAGGGAGACACGGACCCAGGAGGGTGGGGAGATGGGGAACCTGAGGTTGAAGAGAACCAGACCCTGGAGCGGGGAGCGAACTGGACCCTGGAGGGTGGAGGGACCCGGACCCCCGCAGCGGGGAAGCGACCTGGACCCTGGAGGGTGGAGGGACCCAGACCCCGCGGGGGTGGGGGGAGAACTGGACCCTGGAGGGTGGAGGGACCCAGACCCCGCGGAGTGGGGGGAGAACTGGACCCTGGAGGATGGAGGCCGGGTCCTCGCCAGTCGCGGCGCCGGGGCAGCTCCGCGCGCTGCGCGAGGCTCGGGCCGGGTCCCCCGCTAACACTGCCGCCCCTTCTCCGCCCTCGCCCAGTTCTCAGCCGGCCCCGGCCGCACAGCGACGACTACAGCGCCGTGAAGAAGATGCCGCCTCGGAAGCCCACGCGGAGCCCGCACACCAAGCTCAGCGGCTCCTCGGAGGAGATCTCGGGCGCCAGGCCGGGGGCGGCGGGGGCCGGCGGTGCGCGGCGCAGGGCGAGCGGCCCGCAGCGCGCCCCGGGGATCCCCGCGCCGCCCGCGCCGCCGGAGCCCGAGCCCGTGTACATCGAGATGCTGGGCCGCGCCGGCAGCCCCGAGCCGGCGGAGGCCGTGTACGAGGAGATGAAGTACTGGGCGCCCCCCGAGGGCGGCGGCCTGGGGGCGGGCGTCTCGGCGTCCGCCTCGCCCCCTCCGCCGCGCGACGGCCGCAGCCCCCTCCCCTCGGAGGACGGCGACGCCGGCGGGCCCTGCCGGGACGCGTGCGACATCCCCGCGCCCTTCCCCGACCTGCTGCCGCACCGGCCCCCCCTCCTCGTGTTCCCCCCGACGCCGGTCACCTGCTCCCCGGCGTCCGACGAGTCGCCCTTGACGCCCCTGGAGGTGAAGAGGCTGCCGGTCCTGGAGACCAGCCTCAGGTACCCCGTGCAGCCCGAGGGCGCCGGCCCCCCGTCCCCGCAGCACCCCAAAGCCCCAGAGGGCGACGGCGACCGGCCCGCGTTCGCCGGGCCGCACGGAGCCTCCCGTCCCCCCACGCCCGCCGCCGCCCCCCGGCCGCCCGCGCACTTCACCTCCGCGCCCGAGCCCGGCGCGGGGAGGCCGGCGGAGCCGCCCCGGGGCCCCCCGAGGCCCACCTCGGCCCCCGCGGGCGCGCCCTGCAGCCCCGGCCTCAGGAGCCCGCACCCCCCCGGGAAGGCGGCCCGGGCCGAGCCCCGGAAGGCCGCCCCCGGCGCCCCCTCTCCGGCCGCCTACAGCCCCCCGAACTGCAGGCCTGTGGGCAGCCCCCTGGACGAGCTGGCCAGCCTCTTCAGCTCGGGAAGGAGCGTGCTCCGGAGGTCGGCGGCGGGCCGGAGGATCCGCGAAGCCGAAGGTGAATTTCGCATACGGAGGTAGAGGCGTAGCTGCAGACGCGGATGTGTGCCGATGTGCCGTAGATACGGTTTAAGGAGCGCTTGAGGTCATTGCGGGGTCGTTCAGAGCAGGTACCAACTTAAAAACAAACATCTTATGCAACCAATATGGCCAGGTAGGTAAGAATGAATCTTTCCGTCTCGTAGGTAAAAGTTCACGATACAACAGCTCACAGCGCTAAAACTGGGTTTAATACACCCTTGTGACTTGAGAAGTATTAGAGCAGGACTCGGCTTGAGCCGCTGATTTCCGTTTCCTGATAATATTCACTTGCAACATGGAAGGGGCACTTTTGTCACATTATGCTGAGATGCCCCTTTGGTTTACAGCTCATGGCTAACCCGAGTGTCCTCCAACCTGCTGTCCATCTCACTTCCACTCCCGGCATCTGGGACGGCTACCTGTTCAGTTACTCTGTTACACTCGCTCAGTACCACTTACGCTATGTTGTTCTGGATGAATGATTTTTGTGCTGTTCCTTTGCCACCCAAGGAAAATTTTAACTCAGTTCTGTTATATCTGCATCTTCTCATTGAGCAGCTCTGTCTCATAACTAGTTAGCTGTTGACAGACTAGTCAAGTGAGCTCAGGGCTAAGCTGCGGCAGCCAGAGGCTGTTGCCTGTATTAAAAAGTATTTATTTTGTGTCCATATAAAAGCAGAAGGTAGCTAGCAAAGCAAAAAAAAAAAAAGCCAAAAACACAAAAAGCCTTCATTAAGAATTTGTTGCTAATCTCTTGTAAGGAGCTCACCATGTGCTAATTCATTCAGACGAGGTTGCCTTTGAGCCGGAGGCGCCATTTGGGCACAGATTCTCTTAATAATCACAGAGAATGTAGTCATCTTCCAAAAAACATCTTTTTATACAGAACCAAAATATTTTCCAATGTGCTGTATTTGGGAGGGGAATTACGTGAATACAAAGCATCTTCTCTTTAAGGAAATTGTAGCAGGTCCCTCGACCATGATGCCATTAACCCGAATGTAGATGGCAACTACTAGCCTCCCCACTTTACAGAGATGGGAAACTTCAAGGTCAGGAGGTTAAACACCTTCCTTAAGGTCAGGGGGTAGGACTGGAAATAAAAGCTTATGATGTGACGTTTTATGTACGTGTTAACCTGCTGTTTCACCTAAAGACAATACATAAATATATCGGCTTTCATCATTTGATTAGGTCCGAAATCTCTACAAAATCTAGAAAACGTTATCAATAAGTGAAAAGTAGGTCAAGACTAAGAACACTTAGCAAATGAGTGAATAACCTAACCCCCATTTATTCTTTTTTTTTTTTTTTTTGCGGTACGCGGGCCTCTCACTGCTGTGGCCTCTCCCGTTGCGGAGCGCAGGCTCCGGACGCGCAGGCTCAGCGGCCATGGCTCACGGGCCCAGCCGCTCCGCGGCACGTGGGATCCTCCCGGACCGGGGCACGAACCCGCGTCCCCTGCATCGGCAGGCGGACTCTCAACCACTGCGCCACCAGGGAAGCCCCCCCCCCATTTATTCTTCAGTCAGATAAGCTAATTGTTTTTTTAGCTAACAATTTCTTCTTAATTACAGGCCATTAATAAATGAAATTGTCCTTGTAAGTAGGAGATGGCTTGAATTTCACAAGTCATATGTTTCATTCCAAGGAACAAAATGGACTCTAGGAGAAAAGCCTTAAATGAACAAATCACTATTTGCTTTCGGAACTAAAAGTTTATTAAAACCAAATTTTACTATAGATGGGAATTGGATGAATTCTTCTCGGCTGTATTCAAGGAAGTGAAATTAATGAATTTGTAGACGGGTGTCAGCATTTGGAAATCCCTAAGTCTAGGACTTGAGGGGAGGATTCCAGTGAGGCCTCCAGGCAGGGTGCGTGGATGTGCTAATATTTACCCTTGGTAACATTAACCGGTATTTGGGAACATGTATCAAAACCTCAAGCACAACATTGTTAGTGCAACTCTGAAATTATAAAATATCTATTTTTCTACTGTGGGCTTTTACAAAACACTCTTTATTTTGAAAAGATTGTCTTGAGCCACTTACGACTTTCTCATAAATATATGAATTGGCAGCTTCTGCCCCAGCACAGTGGCTGTAATAACAGGAAGCTGCAGTAGGAGATGGCTCGTCCCCTCGCACCAGATGACAGGAGTCCAGCTGTGCAGCTGAGACCGGTGTGATTCCCGAGGGTCCGTGATGTAGGAAACACGTTGACCAGCGTGCAGGACGTGTCCTCCTGGGATCGTACAGGCTATTCTTTTAGGATGTCAAAGGGGCTTAAAGAGAAGACTTGGAAGAAAAAATAGTCTTGATGCTGGAGCTAATCACTGGAGCTGCTTATATGATTATTAGGGTTTACACCATGTGATCCTGGAGCCAGTAATCCGTTGTCTTCTGAATGAATCGCATGGCTGGTATTCGTGATTTACTGGAGTCCTGGGACTTCTCCCCTTTAAGATTTTAAATCTTCTTCTTTACCTTTTTTATATTTCAACATATTCTTCTCTTCACCTGAAAGAGCTTCCTTACCAAATAATCCAGTGGGCGGCTAATTCCGCCTCAAGGCACCTGAATTAATTACAGCTCATTTCTTGGACCGTTGTGATATGGGGAAACTGCACTGCAGATTTGCAGAAGGGTTCAAAATATTCCCCTCGCTTCCTTAGAAAGTGACCTTGAAGAGATTAAACTGCTCCTTATTACCCTGCTAAAGGTATTTCCAGTTAAAATATAAAGGATGGTGAGTTGCGTATAGAAAAGGAGGTCCTTTGCTGTTTAATTCTACAATGTCACTACTCCATAGACTTAATATCCACGTGGGATTTTATAAATATCATGTCCCTCAAAACAGTTCATTTTCTATAGACTCTTGGATATTCAATTTGAGGTACACAGGTCACAGAAATTCTAAGAGTCCGGGATGCAGGTATAGACAAAATGTGATTGTGCAGGTGACAGATGTGACTGCAGTCTGGGAGGGGTAGTATCAGCAGCAAGTAGCTGCAGTGCTTACTATGCTCCAGGCATTGTTTTAATAACCTGTTTAGTTCTCACAAGACTAAAATGTATCTGCTGTTAGCATCCCCATTCTACAGATGGGAAAACTAAGGCACAGAGATTAAACTTTCTCAAAGTCTTCCTCCTTTGAGAGAAACAGCCTGACTTGAATGCAGTGATTCTGGCTCCAGGGGCATTTGTCTTGGCTACCTGCCCAGGACTGCAGAGGAAAAAAAAAAACAGAGGATAAGCCTTTAAAAATTCATATTTGCTCACCTGAGGTGCAACCACTAAGAGTCCTACAGTTTGGACGAAGAAAACGGTTTCATAAAGTCAAAAATTCCAAACATGTACTTTACAGATCGCGGATGTAAACAATTGTGGAATACCCACCGGGCCCTTAAAATGAAGAATGACTAAATGTTTAATTGTCTGTGACTTCCTGGTTATCCCATTCATTCACAAGGTGTTTTTCATCTGATGCCATAATATGATTAATATTATTATGCTAATTATTTATAGTTGCCTAGTTTCAAAAATTATGAGACCTCATTCAAATGCAGGGGCAGAGTCATTGGCTTCTTGGGGCCACGAGGGTGCGCCATCGTTCCAGATGGCTTCGTGGCAGCTGGTTGTTTATCTAGAGCATGAAGTAAAGTGAGCATGTTATTCTGTACCCGTTGAAAAAGATCAGATGATAGGGCTTTGACAACAACGCAGTACACCTCAGAAATCTGGAGAAGAATGTGGAGGAGTCTGAGTTGCAGAATATTCTGTGAAAAAACGTTACTTTGTTACTTTCTGATACTGTGCATCCTTAGTTTATATGATATAAATAGGTAGTTAAAAATTATATTGACAACCAAAAATATAGAGAGACAATATTTCTTCGCATATAATAGGTGTTCATTAAATACATTTGATGAAAACCTACCTAAAGAAGAAAAAGCAGTTTTACATATATTTGTTAAACCTGGCCCTTGTGGCGTTTTTACACATAAGAACCACTGAAGCCAAATGGTAATTACTCTTAATTTCAAATATTTCATTTCATTGCATAAACACTCCAAGTAAGAGTATTTTGAGTTTTTACATCAAAATATTATTTAAATGAATTTTTTACAGCATGATACTTGATTCCATAGGGCCATTTATTTTCAAAAGAATTATTTTAAAGTCGGCTTCATGGAAAATTTCAAACATACAAAAGTAGAGAATAGATGAATGAACTCTCTCTGTGGCCAGTCTTAGCTCATCTCCAGTTTTCTCCACCATCAGTGGATTATTTGGAAGTATGTCCCAAGGTCAAATCAATTTACTAAGAAATATTTATAAACCTTTTATTAGAAAAGTCCTTTAGAAAAAAAAAGGTTTATTCTTAAGTCACTTTAATTAGTACAGACCAGTCAATCCTTCTGAGCCTCATGAATGTAAGATTGTTGCTCAGGACAGAAGCCGCCTCCGGATGCCGGAGACTCGTTTTTCATGATATAACCAAAATAATTCTCAGGAGTTAGCTTTCCACCAAAACAACACCGGCCTGCGAGATCTTCCACAGGTTCTTTGAGCGCAGCTCCAGACGTGCGCAGCTGTGCAGACAACTTTTCTGCTACGACAACAAGCGTGGATTTCTAAATATCGCATCAAACAGAACTAAGTATGAAAGATCCAGGTCCCAAAAGACATACGGTTGCGTCTTAAATCAACATGGTGTGAGGTTTTGATGCCTCACTGCCAAATTACGTACAATTACTTATGCGTTGTTCAGCCACAAGAAGATGCCTTAAAATCAGTGAGCTATCACAGAATTACAGGCAGAAACCTCTGACCTGCTCAAGGACAGTGTTGGTAAATTGTCATTCTCTGCTCCTGGCGTTTGAGACAGAAGTTTCGACACCATCTTCATTTAATCTGTGATGCGTTGTAATGAAATTGCGGCATACGGAATTGGTCCTCCTCGTGCAGATGTCTAGATCCCATCGTGGGATGCAGGGCTTGACATCCCGGAGGCTTCTTGCCTCCATGCAGCCTCTACTAGCAGTTTATCCGTGCCGAGCTGTTTATCTTTCTCACTCCCCAGCCGCTTTGCTTTCTCTCCATGGTGATTTATTTGTGAGCGGTGGTGGCCTGAGGCTTCATGAAAATTATAAAGGGCGTGGAGAGCAAGCACATAGTTTACTGATGTGTAGTTGAGCACACTCCTGCCTCTCATAAAGGTCTCCCTCCTGTGAAAGGAAGGAATTCCGCGGCCTTCTGGAACCATTTTAAATCAACCCTAAGTTTCCCTCGTTTTCCAAATGAGTAAGTCCTCCGGGAAGACGAGCTTCACATCCCCAGAGAAGCAAGCTGTCCATTTATCATCTATCAGGCGAGGATGAGCTATAGAAATGGCTCCCCCTACCGTATCGGTGAACCTGAGCTTGCACAGAAGGAGAGTAGATCTCTCTGTGAGAAAAGGACGTTTTCACCCAGTTCCTGGCCCTGCTGCAGTAAAGGAGAGTATCTGTGTTTGGGACTGGCAACCGGACATTGCAGTGTCTCTAATTCCCCAGATGTCCAATAGAAATAATACTTTGTCTATCTCCGCTTGGAAATGAGCTTTGATCAGTAGCCAAACATACCTATGTGAAGAGCACAAAGCTCCTTGTCTTCTATGTTAAATTGGACAGTTGAAAAAATGCCTAATATTGGTTGTGAATGTGGTGACATTTCTCTCCCAGTTTACGGCACCTTCTCTCTCTAAATGCCCAAGAATTCACACAGGGAAATGGTGCAACCAGGGGCCCATAAACAGGACTTGTATTAACTTGTAGAGCTAATTCCCTTGTAGTCATCATTAATGTGAGCACGGGGCTTGCCACAGGGAATCCAAAGTAGAGAGAAAGAAATCCGTGCGCCCTGCCCTGTCCAGGCAGTGCAGGTGGCAGGGGGGTCCACCCCATTTCAGTGAGAGGCTTTACGTGGAGGCTATAAACCACGAGTGGGTCTGTGACTGAACCCCCAAGTGGCCCGTGAACCCCAGGGGTTTGTTTGTACCTCGTTTAGCGAGAGGTTGCACAGATTTCATCACAAAGTGTCGGTGAGCAGGGCACGGTGCAGGGCCGCTGCTGCAGATGTGCACAGCTGGCGTGCCCGGCAGCCCAGAGGGGAAGTGCGTGACGGCTGCAGTTGAGGAGAGCCTCATGCCAGGGCTGGCACGTGGGCAGGAAGGGTGATGGGGACAATGATGGGGTGTGGAGTTAGTTTCCCGGGTGCAGAGGGGAGCCGGTATGGCAGCCAGAGGAAGCCATGTGTGGTGAGCCCTGCCTCTGAACGTGAGTTCAGGGTACCTGGTCCTTTTAGCATCTGGCCATGAGCCTTGAAGGAGAGAGAGAGAAAACAGAGGGTGCACGGAAGCAGGGCAGGATGAGCTTCCCAGCTGGAAGCTCCACGACAAGGCCTGGAAGCATCTCCAACGTTCCTCTTCTGTCCCGCGAGAATTCAGCATTAACCCTTAGGATCTCCCCTACAAATTAAGAGCCAAAGGAAGAAAGAGAACCAAACCGATAGTAGCAATTCTGGGTATGTGCCTGTGACCTCAGAGAATGGGAACTACTCAGAAACGCTCCGGAACATTGGTCATGGTGTTCTGTTAATAGTGTTAATAGCTAATGCTTGTAAGTGGCCCTTTCCTGTCGGCCAAGCATGCAGACGTGCCTCTTCTCCCCGGGTCCTGTCTGTGAAGCCAGAGGTGCAGGTGTCAGCCTCTCCATCCACCAATGAGCAGCCGTAGACTGAGGGATGAAGTGATTTTCCCATAATCGCAGAAACTGATCAGTCCCAGAGTCAGGAATCAAACACGTCTCTGTTTTCCCAGACCCTGGGTCCTTTCTACTGTGGCATTCTTAGTCTCCAAAAAACAATTAAAGTGTAAAAATGATACCCAGTCCCTGTCTCAGAAAGTAATTCCCTTCTGAAGTTAAAGATAAACTCCTTACCAGGAAAAGATATGGGAGGAGGACGCATAAAACTTTTCTTTTTGTAAAAACACAAAAGCCAAAGGCCACATAAAACTGTTGGAAATGTTCCTAAGGGACACGGAAGTGTCGGTTTTGAGCTGAGGGCGTGTTCCTTGAGTGCCCCTTCGCCTCGCCCTCACCTTCCTGATAAAACCCTTTCTACTCTCTGGTCCCGCAGACTGCCCTCCCTAGTGTCAGGGACCCACAGCACACAGGTGGGGCCGGAATAACTCCTCACATTCAAAAGGATTGCTGGCTCGCTTTCTGTCTCCCTTTGACTCAGCCTCTGTGAGGCTTTGCTTGGGAACAGTTCCTAGTTACAGGTGAGCAATCACTCACAGCAGTTGTTTTCACTTGCAAAGCGCTCACCCAGCATCTTTCCTTAAGGAAGTATCTGACTCTGTGGGATGTGAGCGTCGGGGTGTGAGTGTCCGTCCTGGGAGTGGAGCGTCTCAGATGCCTGCTCAGGACCAGCCAAAAGGTAAAGCTGTAGTGACCTCTCACCCTGTCCCAGGGCCACGCTAAGGGCTGCACAGATGATCAGAAGTGGTTCTCAACAGCCAGCATGATTGGGGCGGGAGAAAGGCACACCCAAAAAAGCCCTCCTCATCTGTGTCTCTATGGCAACTTTTTATTTCCTAAGTTACGTGGCTATAGAGACAGAAATGTAGATAATGGCAACATTAGAAACGTGGCTGAAAAAAAAAATAGTGTCAGGCCCGTACTCAGAGCCTCTCAATAAATGTTTGTTGGGGGAATCTTAAACTCAGAGATCTCCTGAGCTTGGGACTTCCACTAGGCACAGCTGCTTCATTCTTCCTTGAAACCCAGGAGCCAAACCAACCAGAGAGTTGTGACAATTAAATATTTAGATCAACCTGATCAAAAAGTGACCCTTCGAATAGTGTGAATTATCCTGGGAAATTAGCTTAATGTCTTGGCTGTGAGCCTACAGCTGCCAGCATGCCTTCAGACCAGAGATAGGCATCTTGCACAAATAGTTCCTCATGTTTGAGATGAGCCGGAAGAGGCAGAGAAGCATCCCAGCTCCGCTGTTCTCTAAGGCACAGTCAGTGGGAGGGGGCTCTTTTGTACCTGGAATTCTGGAAGAGAGGGCAGTCTTTTCAGAAGTGGATTATCTTTCCTAACCAGTAAATATTTTTCATACCATCAAGCCATTAAAGCAAGCAGCCATTGTGTGTTGGGGGTCTCTGGACTAGATTTTGAATTAAATGCCCACTGGGGGCTCCAGAGAGAAACCCAGTGCTTTATCCTCTAAGCCACTCAGCAACTCTCCCAAAGCAAGTTAATAAAGACCTTCCTGGGCTCTCCGCATCTCATTATTGCCACAGAATACAATATCCCGGGGCTTTCTTCCTTTTGTGAAGAAACTCTTAGAAGTGACAGGGTACAGGGAAAGTTTCCCTAAAGATGAGCTGGACCGCTGCCATGTTCTCTCTGTCCTTAAGAGGATTGGAAGAGAAAAAGATGTTTCTTAATTACCTAAGAGTGTTTAGGTTCTTTAGGCTGACTTGAATCATTTTTATGATTAATTCTCAGATTAGCCTAGAAAATTCCTCACCACCTGAGAGCCAGCTATATTCAATGTCATTTTACCCACTGCCCTATCCCATGAGTCACCCGCTGTGTGTGACGCTTCTCAGACCTTTTTCTCTGCTGGTTTTCACTTCTTTCTTTTTCTGGTTTCTCCTTGAAACCAGAAATGTTCATACTTAGACATTGTACACTGACAATATACCGGGCAATTGCAATTTTACATTCACTAATACATGTTAATTGTAATAAGCCAAATCAATGACAATCTAGTTCGCTTTCCTCCCCACACAGGTGACTCGGTCCTAAAATACGCAGGGACCAAAGCATGGCAGACATGAACTGGAGCCCAGGTGACACACGTTTACAGTGGAACACTCACGGTAGCATACCTGAGAATGTGTGTATTACCCAAGTCCTGCAAAACCTACAAAAGAGCTTCTGCACACCCAGAACTCTGACTCATGATCAAACATACTCTTCCCCCCCCCCGCTCCCCTGGCCAAAATGTCCATTTTAAAGAATGGAAGAACTGGCATATGTGCACTGTAGGTACAACAGGGTAATTCCCAAGCAAATAGGCATGTTTTCGATCTTAGTTTTACTGTTCTCCTTTGATGTGGAAAGATCCAGGAAGGAGTAAGTAAGAGACAGAAGACTTGAGCAAAGCAGTGGGTGAAAACTACCCCTATTCAGGCATTTCCATGTTACTGAAAAGGGAACCAAAGCTTGCAGCCCTTAAGTTACTTCCTGAAGTCACATCTGTTTGTCGGAGTTATGTTTGCTTAATTCCAGTTCTCAGGTGAGATCACCAGCCAGACAGGGGCCAGGCTGGTTTTAGAAGCAGGATGGAGGGCACCCATTTACATCCATTTACATCCGTTTAAAGTAGCCGAACGCGCGCCATACCCTTAGCAGTTCACATGTCTTTTTTCAAGTAAATAACCAATGCCCAGCAGCAGATTCTCTAGTGCAGAAGAGTATAGTTGTTTTTAATTTTCATGAGACTTATATTGACTTTATTTTGTCTCTTGGTATTTAACCACCTTTATATATAGCTTGTAATGGAGCCCCTCCTGGATTTTTAATAGAAACTTGTGTTAAGAATAACTACTTCAGGGCTTCCCTGGTGGCGCAGTGGTTGGGAGTCCGCCTGCCGATGCAGGGGACGCGGGTTCGTGCCCCGGTCCGGGAAGATCCCACATGCCGCGGAGCGGCTGGGCCCGTGAGCCATGGCCGCTAAGCCTGCGCGTCCGGAGCCTGTGCTCTGCAGCGGGAGAGGCCGCAACGGTGAGAGGCCCGCGTACCGCAAAAAAAAAAAAAAAACCAATAACTACTTCATGGACCTAGAGATTATCATACTAGGTGAAGTAAGTCAGAAAGAGAAAGACAAATATCATGCAATATCACTTATATGTGGAACCTAAAATATGACACATGAACCTATTTACAAAACAGACTCGCAGACATAGAAAACAAACTCATGGTTACCAAAGGGGAAAGGGGGGGGTGATAAATTAGGAGGTTGGGATTAACAGATACACACCACTATATATAAAATATATAACCAACAAGGACCTGCTGTACAGCACAGGAATTCTACGCAGTATCTTGTAATAACCTACAAGGGAAAAGAATCTGAAAAAGAATATATATATAACTGAATCACTTTGCTGTACACCTGAAACTAACACAGCATTGTAAATCAACTCTATTCCAATAAAAAATAAAAAAATTTTTTAAAGACTGAAAGAAAGAATAACTACTTCAGTCCTTGAGAAAAATACGTAATCTACGTTTGCTCCATTTAAGGGACTCCTTTGTGCTCCCGTCGTAACATGCTTTCCAGTGCCTTCTGTCCATCCCCTACCCACCACATGAAACTTAGCACAACCAGATATTTGGTTGAATTGCATACGTGTCAAACGAGACAGTAAAACTCTAATGGCTGGCGTTCATTTCACTGATGTAGTTCACTTACCCAGGCTGGGAATCATGTCTAATCTCCAGAGGCTGGGACAGCGACACGGGGCAGAGGCACTGGGCTTCTGTGTGGTGATGAGGGATTATAAAAATGTCTTTTTAACCTGATGATCATTAGGAAACCCAGCGATGTGGTCCAGCTGCTAATCAGAGAGCATTTCCATTGCTGCAGGGGTCGAATCCATCTTAAGGAACCCTCTGTAATGATTTTAGGGAAAAGGTTCCATTTTTCAGACAATAAAATCATTCTATGACAGCGCCCCCAAGACACAAAGTCCTTTTCAGGATTAAAAAAATCGGAGGTTAACTTCAGGCAAAATGATTCAATGAGTAACAATATTTGTGTTGCTGTTTGCTACTTGCCTCCAGTTTTCAAAGAGGTTTGGAAAAATCGTTACATGAGAAGGGCGGGCTTCATTCATGCATTCAAAACATGCATTGAGGGTGTGTTTTGTGCAGGGCGTTGTACTAAATTGTATGGATTTTAGAAGTAAAATATGGGATCTGCTCAGAAGCAGCTCACAGCAGGGAAACACGAGAGATCCGAGGTACCCAGGCTGCAAGAAACATTGTCCGGGAAGATGCTGCTTGGGCTTCTCAAACTGCTTACCCTTAATGCTTGTGAAATGCTGCATTTTTATTCAATTCATTCTACTCTCTTTCGTTTTTAAATGCTTATCGTGACCCACTAAATTGATTTTCCAACCCATAAATATGTCCTTTGAAACACTGATCCGGAAGGTAGGATTTATCTGGAGGGAAGGAGGAGAGTGAAACCCAAGCAGTGAGAGAAACAGGCTGAGACCAGTGCGTCTCGCACTGTAAGAGGAGGGTTTGTGCAAGGACGCGATGGCGCCACCAAGTGATATATTGGAGGAACTACACCAGGGTGTGTGAAAAGGGCTTTTCTACATTCATGTACTTGTAAACGTATATTCTTTAAAAGTGAAGGATGAGAAATGCTTAGCTGTGGGCACATGAGGATGGGACCGCCACCTCCTGACTGGCTCCGAGGGGCTTTCTTCCTGTAGTTCTGGGTGAGATGAAAGCCATTGAGATCAGCTCAGCCTTTCCGTCAGTGTCCCTCCCAATGTCCCATCCTTCCTGGGTGGCCGACATCTCTGTGATGTGACACTGCCACTGCGACGGCTCCGGGGACATTCAGTCACACAGGCACATAGGGTTTGAAGGCACAAGGAATTAGTAGTGTCCGCCCGTCTAGTTCCGTAAAGGACCCAATCATGGGAACCATCAAAGAAACAGGCCACGTGGCTTGAGGAGAATTCTGACAAGACTTTAAGTCTGTATAGATATTTTTAATTTGTTATGTAAGGCCTCAGAGCTGCTGCGTAGCAGCCACCCGGGGTGGGCAGTGGGGCTGATCTACAGACGTGCAGGGCACCGCCAGGCTGTTAAAATGTGGCCATGTCTCTGCACCAGTGGAAATCACTGCCGTCCTGAGCCCTCCGGGGTTCCCAAGCCCCAGCCCCGGAGGTCTTGCCCCAGGCCTGCCCTGTGTCCTCCTCGTGAACTGTGCCCACAGGCAGAGGCTTGAGGTCTGTGGCTCCTGCCTGTCTTCATTGGTCCTGGCTTGTGACCTTGGAGCTCTTAAATATCTGGGGTGGATAAAGTTTATAATTAGTTCTGAACAAGGATTTTGAAAAGACTCAGTTTACACCACTGCGTTTTGGCTTTTAACTTTTGCTCATTTTACTGGTTCTCTCTGACCCGGCTGCAACTACATCAGTGAAATGAATGCCAACAATGAGAGTTTGTCTCGTATGACATGTAAGTGATTCAGCCACGTCTCTGGTTGTTCTGAGGTTCACGTCGTGAAGGTAGGGGATGGACAGGAGGCACTAGAACAGCATGTTGTGACGGGAGCACAAGCTGGTGTCCCTGAAATGGAGCAAACGTAGATTATATATTTCTCAAGGATTGAAGTAGTTGTTCTTCAACAATTTAGCTAAACATTAAAAATCCAAGAAGGGCTCCAGGACGAGCTAAATATAAAGGTGGGGCTTCCCTGGTGGCGCAGTGGTTGAGAGTCCGCCTGCCGATGCAGGGGACACGGGTTCGTGCCCCGGTCCGGGAGGATCCCACATGCCGCGGAGCGGCTGGGCCCGTGAGCCATGGCCGCTGAGCCTGCGCGTCCGGAGCCTGTGCTCCACAGCGGGAGAGGCCACGACAGTAAGAGACCCGCGTACGGCAAAAAAATAAATAAAAATAAAAAATAAAGGTGGTTAAATACCAAGAGACAAAATAAAGTCAATACAATTCTCATGGAAATGAAAACATAAATAACCAGTTCTTATTCTAAAGGGATCTGCTGCTGGGTGTTGGTTGTTCCCGTGAGAAAGGAGGTAGAACCTGATGGAGGTGTCTTGGGGGTACCCTCCTTGTTTTTTTCCGATAGTAGGTATTACCAGTCTCCCATCCATGTGACACCATACCAGTGTCAACAAATACCGAAAGCTCCCAATAAAAGAAAAGGAATATCGTCCTCTCCAACTTTGCTTTCTGGAGAAAACACACACCTAAACCAGGACATACACTGTCAATCTTGTGCAGCTGTGCAGGTGTGGCGTTCCAGGCCTCCTGGATTTATGTTACCACCTGGCATTGAGGAAGTGTAAAAATACCAGCTATATAAATACCCGCGTGACCCATGAGATTAGACACGAGGAACGGGCCTCCAGGCCAGGCCAGCTTGTTGTTTAGATGTTGCATATTCAGCTCATTATAGGGGAGGCGAGCTCCAGGGAAAGGAAAGGGTGGCCACGCTTCTTCCCGCGATGGCAGGGACCGGAGAGTTGGGCCCAAAAGGAGCCACAGCTCGTCAAACTGCAAAGAAAGTTGACACAACATAATTCTCTGTGCCTTTTTGGGTTCTGCAAACCTTATTTATACTGACAGTCATTTTTTAGCTTTACTATGGGTACATTCTTGCCCTGCTCAGCACATATGTTGTTGAAGATATCACTCTATTTCCTGCCTCGGTTGGTGTTTTTAGCACAAACCATCTCCTAAGACTTGGCAGGGGAGTGGGTGGCGGGAGCTAAGGCGGGGTGGGCAAGGAAGCCCTTTCCTTCCACCCGACTTAACCCCAAGCGTGCGTCTTGGTGACACTTTCTGCCGCAGAAGACTGCCCAACATACAAGGTCAAGAGCAATCTTGATCTATTCAAGAATGATGAATTCATAAGGGGTTTTTTAAAAGTAGGGAGGAACACTGGGGCGCCGGCTCTAGCCTCTTAGGGTAAGAAGCAAGTCCAGCTAATACATGTTTTCAACCCACCCATCCTTGCCAGTCGCCGCAGTGTTGTACTTTTCTGCTTCTTGAGTCATCAGTTCTTATAGCCATGTGACCATGTTGTGGAATGCGGCTGCCACAGGAGTCATCGCATGGGGACCTCATGTGGTCCCCAGCACCAGTAGACACGGAAGCTCTCTCTTGATCCATTTCTGGGACTATTAGCAAAGGGGTGATGGAGTCTGGTTCGCGTCGCTTAAGGTCAGTTAGACGCCTGCTGTTCAAAACACACGCCTCTTCCGTGTGCCCTCCTGACCACACCTCTTTGATAATGTGCCCTCTGCTGACATCTGACATCTCCTTACACAACGCCACACGTGGAATCTCTCTTCCTGTTTGAGTTTAGGACCAGCCACTGTGTCTACCTGAACCCCTACCCCTGACATTTGTCTTTCTCTGAGGCGATCTGCCAAACGTCTGGGTTATACTCTCATGGATAAGAAAAAAGTCTTATTCATGTCCTAGAAGCCGTCAGAGTGCAGGGGGCCTGGGGAGTGATCTCTAGATCCTTATTTTTGTGCATGTGTTTTTTCCTCATGTGCAATAATGTAAGATTTCAGAGAAATAAGAGATTTAAAAGGCATTGTTCCTTGGAACTCAAAGTAGATATGGTTTAACACAAGCTGGATGCCGATTTCGGGTCTGAGCGGTCCTGCCCATGCGTAGTGACACACCATCTATGTGTGTCTGTCAGCAGAGTCGAGCTGCGACTTCTCAATTTTAGAAACGAGAGGCTGAGAAGCAGCAGGACCATGCCAGGCTCCCGTCTCAGACTTTGTACTTTTCCTTAATGCCAAATAGGAAAAAACAAGCACATTCCTCCCTGCAGTAGCCTTTCTGGAGAGGAATTTTCCTATAGAGTTGCAGAATGAATGATAGCCAGCATGAGTAATGAGTTTAAAATGTATTTTCACATTTTTTATGCCTTGCATAGCACTCTCAACCTTAAATCAGTCGAACAGCTATAGTTTGTTTTTCTCTTGCGTTCCAGAAACCTGGATCTTAATCTCATCCGTTTCCAAAATACACCCTAAAGCTATCTCAAATCCAGGTAACCAAGAGAGAAGTGATGTTTTTAAGCATTCTTCCTAAAGAAACACTCCATCGCTCAGTACTTCCTCATTCTCCTTGACCTTTCTGTGGCATTTGGTACCGTGAGCCTCCCCCTGCTTCCAGAAGCCTTTCCCCTCTGCCAGCCACCCACCCTCCCGTCCCACGTTCTCCCCCCTCCATGCTTACATCTGACCGTTCGTATCCTCTATCACGTGTGCTCTGCCGTCTGCCTCTTCACTTGTAGGAATGTCACTTTTCCTGGAAGAGATCCTCCCTCTCGAGAGATTTTTTTTTTTTTTTTTTTTTTGCGGTACGCGGGCCTCTCACTGTCGTGGCCTCTCCCATTGCGGAGCACAGGCTCCGGACGCGCAGGCTCAGCGGCCATGGCTCACGGGCCCAGCCGCTCCGCGGCATGTGGGATCTTCCCGGACCGGGGCACGAACCCGTGTCCCCTGCATCGGCAGGCGGACTCTCAACCACTGCGCCACCAGGGAAGCCCCCGAGAGATTTTTAAGTCTCCCCTAGACATTATTATCTTTTCAGTCCTAACAAATGCTCTTGTTCAAATCATCGCCTCTCGGTTTAACCCTTGGGTAGGCGGCTGTCACTTCAGAGTCCACATTCGCAGCCCTAACGGCATCCCCATCGCTGGTCCTGGCCGACTCCCAGGGATCTGTAACTCGGTGAAACCCCACTTGCACTGCTCCTGCAGCTGCCCGAGTCTAAATTCTCACTGCTTTTCCGTTTCCAATCTCTCTTCGAAGCTGGTCAGCTGTACACCTTTGTTGCTGGATGAATAACACTTTACAGATACAGCCTCCTTCCGGGCACACCCTCACTGGGATACTTGCTGGAACTCCCCGTGTGATGCCCCGGAAGGTCCAGGCTCCTCCCACACCCCAGGGCAGAGCTGGGGCAGAGCCCACGAGGTGCTCACTCTGCCGCTCGACATTGTGGCTTCCTTTTCCCTCCTCCTCGCCACATTCTGTCCCGGCTTTTGCAAATCCAGTGTTTTCTCCCCATGCCCGCCCTGCGGGGCTCACCTGGCCACTGAAGCCCCCGCCTCTCCTGTGGATCCCTGGGCATTTGCACGGCTTTCCTTTCTGCCCCTGGTCTGCTGCTGAAGGTGCTCTGGAGACGATCACCTTCGAGTTGATCACCTTGCGTGTCGAGTCGCCATCTAGAAGCCTGAGAAGAGGCACCTGTTAGGATGCACCCTGGGTCTCCTGTACATGCTGGCATTTTAAGTGTCAAAGGCTTTAACACACACACACAAAACCCAGCCAACATTAACTCAGCTGAGTAGAATGAGCATCCCACAATGACGATCACAGATTATTCATCCCTACATCCCCCAAGATAGTTGGACAGTCATCCGTGCTTTTTCTTCTTGCACTTTGTCAATTGTTTCCATCCATTCCTGTAATTTATTGTGTCTTATCACCCCTCTAGAATGGGAGCATTGAAGGAATCATTTCTTTTAGGTATATATTTCTAAAAGCTCTTGGCGAATTCTTTGCATACCAATTGAACTGTGTAGGACTTGAGAATTACGTGTTCCATCCCTGCAGAAGCCTCGTGGTGTAGAGGAGGAACGTGTTGGCCCACGGCTCATCACTCTGCATTCCGCTCACACAAAGCCCCCGGAGTGGCCGCCAGCTCAAGGGCATCTCACTGTTTCCCACGGATGGACCAGCCCCTGTACCTTTTGCCACTTTCCTCTGGCTGTAGATTTGGAGGGAGTTCTCTGAGTCGCTCACCGCACTCACGTGTTTCTCGAGCGCCCCAAACTTATTCAAGGAGTCATCTTCCTCCCCAGTAAGAAGCTTCTCTCCTCCCCTGAAAATCTTTGCATCCCTTTCCTGAGAGACGTTCCTCTGCTTAGCCTCCATCTCCCAGCAAAACCCTGCTTCCTCTCCTCTTCCAGACATGTCCCCTTCCGTGAACTTACACCTCTGACTCCCAGGTGAACTTGCACTCCAGTCCTGTGACCCGTGAAGAGTTAGGCTTTTTCTGCTCGGACGTTGCTCTGAGGATCGCATAACACAGCAGCCAGCTTTCACGGAGTATCAGTGAGAGCCAGACGTCATGCGCCCTTGTCACCTTATTCAGTGACATCTCCCAGCGAGAGTCAAGTCCTAGGAGCCAGGACTGGATCAGGTGCATTGCTGCCAGGACCCTCTATGTTTGGGACAGGTTCTGGGTTTTTTTGTTTTCAAGAAATTGAAACTTATGCAATTGGGGGCAGGAGAAACTTCTTTAAGAAAAAGAATAAAAGTAACCAAAATTTAGGGAGCAAAGTGGACATTTATTTAAAATGAGAAGATAAAGCAAAGCAAAATACTCATTGTTCTGTGCTTAGAACAGTGCCTGCGCACACTAGATGCTCGATAAAGATCTGTTGAAAGAAAAAGAAGTAACAAAAAAATCACTACAACAACATTGCTGTAGAAATTTTGTCAGAAAAAGCTGTCAGGCACCCAGATGTTAACTGTGGGTGCTTTGCTCGACTCCCACGGGCCTTAGCCGTGGTCTTTGAAAGTGGCGTGTGGTTTGGAGCTTCCCCTGTAGACTTGGGGTCAACCGGCTTCCACCCGTCTCCAGCCTCCAAGATTCCAGGAGTCAACACTGACCAAATCGATTCTAATTTCCTGACATTCGACATTGTAAAACCATGTAAAGTAAGACTTTTTTAAAAAGCAACTATGCATGAACCTTGTGTATTTGTAGGACAGTAATGACATAATTATCAGTGGTAATGAGTGGGAAAATAGTGAAAACACGAAATTTCCTACCGTCGGTCAGGAATAGATTTCCAATACTCACAAGTGTTTTCTTCTGCAGGTTAACGCTCTTAGGTTGAAATCAAACAGCTCTGGCCCTTTGATTTTGTTTGTTGTTTAAAAGCTATGACATTATTATTGACTATATTTCCCACACTGTACATTTCATACCCGTGACTCATTTATTCTGTAACTGGAAGCTTCGCTCCTCTCAATCTCCCTCACCTATTTCTCTCATCTCCTGCCACCCTCCCCTCTGGCAACTACCTGTTTGCTCTCTGTATCTATGACTCTGTGTCTGTTTTGTTATGTTTGTTCATTTGTTTTGTTTTTTGAATTCCACATAGAAGTGAAATCATACAGTAATTTGTCTTTCTCTGTCTGACTTATTTCACTTAACGTGATACCTTCAGGGTCCATCCATGTGGTCACGAATGGCAAGATTTCATTCTTTTTATGGCTGAGTAGTATTCCATTGCATATATGTACCACATCTTCTTTATCCATTCATCCATCAGTGGGTTGCTTCCATATCTTGGCTATTGTGTCTTGTCCAGTTTAACACTCTTAGGCAGAAAGCAAACAGCTCTGGCCCTTTGAATGAGTAAAACGTGTTTACCACACACACTGAAATTTCCTTACCTTAAAATGTAAATAAGTGGAGATTAGAGCTCAAGGCATATCATTAACAGTGGAAATCCTTCTATATGTTTCCAGTAATCTCATGTGAATGGGGAGAAATGATTACTGTGGTGTATGATTTCTCTGTCATAATTCACATGAATTCTTCAGTTGGTGAACTTGTCAACTATTTCGCAGTTACACAGAGTGTGGTTTCTTTAAGAAAGTGGATTTTTTATAGCAATGTTGTTGTGTTCATTCATTTATTATTCATTCTTTTTTCTCTCTCTTTCAACAAATACTTATTGAGCACCTACTAAGTGCAGGCACCCTTGGAGGCACCAAGATTGCCTTGGAGCTCGTGGTGTCGATTTTCTGGAAGGTGGAGACAGAAAACAAACGCTTGAAGCGTAACATGTCATGCGATGAGAAGGACCATGTAGAAAGCTAAGGCAGGTTGTGAGGACAGAAATTGACCTGGGGAAGGGAGAGGGGTGCCGCTTTCCGGAAGGTGGTTGGGAAGGCCTTTCTGCTCGGGGTGGTTTGCGCGGAGCCCTGAACAAAGTGCAGAGCCCCTGGCTTCGCTCCGGGAGAGTGAGAGGATGAGTGGAGGGATGCAGAGAAGCTGGTGGGGCTGGGGAGGGGTGCGGCAGATGGGCAGTTGGAAATGAGGTCCAAGGCGAGCAGGGAGCGGGGTCCTGGAGGGTCCCTCAGCCTCAGGAAGCCTTTGGATCGTGATCTGAGCAAAATAAGAAACCGGTGGAGAGATGTGAGTGGGAAATGGTGTGAACTGACTTAGCTTTTTTTTTAATTAAAAAAATTTTTTTTTTCTTCTGGCTGTGCCACGTGACACGTTGGCATCTCAGTTCCCCGACCAGAGATCGAACCAGCGTCCCCTGCAGTGGAAGCGTGGAGTCTTAACCACTGGACCACCAGGGAAATCCCGTGACTTAGCCTTTAAAGCAGAGTTTGTCAACCTCGGCCCTATTGACATCCCAGGCCAGATGTCTTGTCCCCCAGTCTTCATCCTGGAGGCCTGTCCTGTGCATTGTAGGACGTTTTGCAGCGTCCCTTACCTCTACCCACTAGATGCCAGTAGCACCCACCTCCCCGGTGTGACAACCAAAAATGTCTCCAGACAGTGTCAAATGTCCCCTGGAGAGGTTGGGGGTGGGGGGGGGACGGGTGTGGGGTGCAGTATCATCTCCTATGGAAAACCACAGTTTTCAGAACATCACGCCCACCCAGCCTGATACTCTGGTTATATAAAAGCTAGCACTAGGCTACTGAATTGTCTTTGCATATTCATATTTCGAGATTCGGTAGAATTGTCTCGTTCGACTCATACTCAACTTGAATGCGCCTTCATTGCGTACTTGTGTTCGATCATCATATCTTAATGTGAAGACTGAGACTGTATCTTTGAGTCACATCCCCCGATGTGATTCATCTTTCCTGTACCTGTGAGAACAGCACCAGGAAGCAGGGGGCGGTCACAGAGAAACCCTGTTCACAGGCTGCAAGAAAATTCCACAGGAATTCGAATTAGCTAATGTTACGATGCGCCCATCAGAAGGCTGCCCCTGAAATACACAGGCCACTGATTTCACAAGATGCAGAGATACATAAAAGACTCAGACACACCCCTAAATCTCTATGTGGGATTTTCCAGCCCTCACTTCCCTACTTGTTTGCTTAGATTCATCGAGAATCTCAAATATTTTCTTTTGGTGTGACTTTTCTTCACCCTCAAAACCCTGATGACCACGGCTTGGAGGCATGAACAAACCTGATGACTGTATTTGATCTGTGTTGTTTTTTTAAATTTTCCACAAAATCTGCATCCTGAACCTGCACTTTTATAGCCAAGCCTTCTTCAGACTTCATGCCAGGGTCCTCTTGACGGGATGCCGTTGCAATTCCTTTGCTGTTTAAATAATGAGTGTCCTTTTGACGAGGAATGTTGCAACCGTTCTTGCATGAAACTGACAACTTTACAGCAAAATCAAATTTTTGAGAGTCAGAACCTCATTGGGGTTGAATCGAGAAATGAACAAGTTGGGGCACAGGCTCTCATGCACGGGTTCAGCGTGGAGCCAGGGTGTTTATGAGAAGAGGCTGACACAGAACGTGGTGACCAAGAATCCCTCGGTTAATATTCATGAATAAGCATAACCCCAAAGTGGCGATGTCGATATTGATGTCGCAACTCTATTTCAGCGTCTAGAGGACAGTTTTTCAAGCTGGGGTTCCCAGTTCATTACCACTGAGGCATGGGTGATACAGGCACAGAAAAGAAGATGCTTTATTCTTTACATCAGCAAAGGAAATAAGGAAGAAAGCCTTTACGGAAGGGGCCAAGCCAAAGAATGGGTGTGGGTGGACGGCAGAGCCCTGCACACCTAGGTCTAAACCCAGCGGCAACACACCGGCTCACTGTGAAATGTTCGCGGGTAAATTCACCTCCTCAGGCCTCAGTGACCTCATCTCAAAAACAGGCGAGGGAGTGACAGCTCTTCAGAATTGTTATGAAAATGAGAAGTAAGTCAAGCCCCACCTCTAGCAGGGGATTAGCACATAATAAACGTGCAGGAGATGGTAATTACCGTAAGAACAGTGTGAATAATTGTCATCAGGTTGACCACTTATTCTTCCATCTTAAGAAGGACTCGCTCCCTTATTCCAATCCACAGCCATCCTTGGAATAGACAGACGTGCGCTCTTACGATAAAAACATAGAGAAAATGTTAGTAGATAACGTAAGGATCACAGCCTAAGTTTTGAGACACATTTTCAAACATTTTTTGGCTACAAGTGAACCTGCTGATTGGACATATGAAGATTTTTTTTTAATTTTAATAGCAAAAATGGAGGGTTCGACTATAGTTTACATATAGCAGTTGTTTATGAGATAGAAATCCATTCTGGGGGAAGCTAGCATCACATACTCGTACCAGGAGTTCACACAGTGTCTCAGAGTACTGGGTCCTGTACCGCCAGGCCTAAGAGGACGTCCCTGTTACCTAGATGCTACGCCCTGCTTCACGCTCTGAGCCTAAACAAGACCCCCTGGAGAAGGTTCCCAGCCCCACTGCCACCCAGCTGGGAGCCCACCAAGTTCCTTCATCTTCTTGCTCCTTCCTCTGCTTGTTTGTTGTCAATCACGGTCCCGCGGGCGACGCTCCAAGCTACCTGTCTGCTCATTTCTGGACCTCCAGCTAGTGGAGAGAGTCTGGCCAGAGGAAGCATTCAATAAACAACTGAATTAAAGAGTGAAAAAAAAAAGCTTAAAGAGAAATAAAAGCAGGTGAATGTCTGTGTCTTGAGATCGCTTTAACACCAAACCTGTTTTATTAATTTTCAGAAGATGATTTTTAAAAAGGCAAAATAGAGTTGACCAAGTTGAATAGATACTCTTTCAGTTCCAGCCCATTCAATAATCTCTGGCCATCAAGAGCTGAGATGGTGAAGCTCCCCCGACCTCTCCTTGGCTGCGATGCCCGCCTTGGCCTGGCCAAAGCCTTTTTACTTGTTTTTTAAATGCAAGGAGTCTGGAACTACTCCCTGGGTCGTGGAAATAGAACCTCTTCCACCTGGTTGTCAAAGCCCTGCTCATTTAGTCCTCATTCTATCTGTCCAACTCTTCCTTCTCTAAGCCCCAGAACGGCCTCCTGTCTGGGCACACCAGACCTGCTCACGTGTAAAGGAGCGGCCACTGCGCTGCACAGAAGATGCTCTGAACAAGATTACTATGGTGGGGAGGGAAGAGGGCTGAGCGGGGAGAGGGGTCCCAGGCATAGGGAATGCGCAACCCAAGCATCAGAACGTGGCAGTGTGAGCATCTGGGTAAATGCTGAGGGCCTGGGTGCTATTTGAGTGCAAGTCTCAAGGGCAAGGGGAGACAGCATCCAGGAGGGAGAGCTAGGATGCTGTCAAGCCCAGCCTTGGAGATGAGCTCTGGGGGGGGGCTGGCCCCCTGCTTCCTTCTGCCATCACGGTGGGTGAACTGTTCCTCCATCCGTAAAATATAATAAGGCATATTACATTTATGATCCTTTTTGAATCATGTATTGGCCTAAAACTTCAGAACAGTCTGACTAAGAGATACCCAGAACCTACTAAGCACCGCAGACAAGGGGCAGAAGCAACATGGCAAATCCCTGATGGTGAACGGAAATTCCCCAGAGGGTGGGAGCACGTCTTTCAGCTCTTCAGCCTAATTTGGACAGTGGCGTCTGTGTTCTTCACCTCAGAGAACTCAGTACAGCACATGCGTTAAACATTTAGGTAATTTTGTTACTGTAGAGAATGCAGAAGTAGGATTTTGAAGTTTAGTATTCCTAAGTGGATAATAAACTTTGTAACAGTAGCGAAAATATATCTGTTACATTTTTTTCAAAGCTATAAGGTTGCCTCAGCTCCACTTCATTTAAAAACTCAGAAAATTTCTGAAACATGAATAACTTGCTATGCTTCTTTTAGGAGATAACCTTCCCAAGATAGGCAGTTCTGTAATGACAAGTAATTAGACGTATGACATCAAAAATTCTTTATAGATTTCATAATAATGTTTGAAAATAACAAGTTATGAAATTCATTGTTGCCACTGAATGCATCCCATTATGTTTAACAGTATTATGTCAAAATTTGGTGAATATTTTGTAAGCTATACGTTTGATTAAGGGTGATTATTAATTTACTGTTTCAAACATAATTAATGTTTGTTTTCATAAGTTTTATTATTTCCTTCCACTATTTGATTCAACTTGCTCAGTACACTTTATCAGAAAAGAAGAATTGTTTTTACAATTTGTTTCAGGTTTTGAAACTAACATGAACCTTACTAGCCGAGATGATCTTGGTACATCAGAAATTGCATCAGAGACCCAAGATAGAAATGCGAATAACCATGGGATTCAATTATCTAATTCACTCTCCAGCACGATCACTGCCGAAAATGGAAATTCCGTCGCAAACGGTAAGCACTTCGTTACACCCGGAAGTAAGTAGATATACGTTCTAAGTTGTATCAACTTTCTAGGGAGAATGGAATTAAAACAAAAATGAAGTAGGCTTAAAAACTGGAAAAGGGTATAAAGTATGAAATATCACTCTAGGGTGTGTTGTCAGCTTCTTATTTTCAAGTTAAAGAATTCAAATTGCATTCGGTATTAGTTGACTTTTCAGAGATTTTTATGGAGTATTTGGTCTGTGGAAACCAGTATAAAATGAGACGTATACTGGGCAGAAGGAGGCGATGGATGCTCTAACAGTATTTTTAATGAAAAATATATCTTTTTCATTTCTTTTAAAAATTTATTTATTTTTTAAAAATTTTTTATTGCAATATAGTTGATTTATAATGTTGGTTAGTCTCAGGTGTACAGCAAAGTGATTCAGATATATATGTGTATGTATATATATATGTGTGTGTGTGTTCTTTTCCCTTATAGATTATTACAAGCAATTGAGTATAGTTTCCCGTGCTATACAATAGGTCTCTGTTGGTTATCTATTTTATATATAGCAGTGTGTATATTTTAATCCCAAACTCCTAATTTATCCCTCCCCCCTCCCCTTTTTCTTTTCATTCCTCAAAAGTGTGAAGGAAAATACTACTGAAGGAATGGTAAACACCACACTGGCTTTAGGTGTTCGATGTGAGTGTATCAGTGAAGGTATCCTGTAGAAATTGGCTTGACTGTGTGTATCCAAACCCTGTCTAATAGTGGCTTAAACAAGTAGCTTATTCCTCCCACACTAGAAGAAGCCCAGGGCTTCTAGTATTGTCTGAAGGGAAAATTCAGACCAATCTTTTCTTGAAGAGACTGAGAAGGTGGGCATGGGATGCAATGAAGGCCAAGCAAAGAAGCCTATATTCTAGGCTTTTCTCTGAAGGACGTTGGGGGCATTCACTGAGTCCACAGGAGGTAGCTGAGAAGCTTGGCTGTGCCTTTTAGGATTGTGGGGACAGGCTGAGTCCAGCACCTGCCAGGGCCCTGGGGTGAAGCCTTGAAGGGTCCATCCTGAGAGTCAGAAGAAAAACCAGGAACCCCAGCTCAGCTATGAATCTTCTGAATCCCTGGGGCAGGAATGAGGTCCTCCAAGATTGACAGGGCCCACAGGTACCTGGGAGAAAAAAAGTATAATCTATCCCAAAGGACAATTACAGTATTCTAGACTTCAGAATGTTCTTACAAACCATTTTTCAAATACCAAGTTCAACACATAATCAAAAAGAACCAGGCACATGAGGACACAAAAGGAGATGAAAATTACAAGCAGAAATAGCAATCCATTGCAGTGTATTATCCATGGGGGTTCAAAAGATTGGAGTTCAAAACCATATACTTTAAAATAAGTATGTTTACTAGGCCTAAGGAGATAAAAGAATGAGAATCTCAGCAGAAATCAGAAACCACGAAAACGTGTCAAATGGAAATTCTGAAATTGAAAAATGCAGTCATAAAACTAAGTACAATAGAGGATGAGGTTAAAGTCAATTAGACACAGCCATTAAAAAAAATCCTAGGGAAGTGGAAGATAAGTCAGAAAATATCAAGAATGAAACGCAAAGAAGAAGAAGAGTGGAAATTCCAGAAAATGGTTTAGAACCTGTATTCCAGTAACATAGTTTAGAGACCTGAAGGATATGCTGAGAACTGTTTTTGGAATTCTGGGAAAAGGAGAGAGAGTCTGTGGGCAAGAGAAAAGATATGGTGAGAAATGGGAGAGAATTCTCCAACACTGATGAAAGCACTAAGAAACAGGTTTAAGTTGGCAGTTTCTCATAAACATATGCTTTCCATGTGACCCAGCAGCCCCCCTCCTGGGTGTTTACCGAAGAGAAATGAAAACAGCGTCCATATAAACACCTGTATGCAAATTTGTATCCTACCTTTATTTATAATCACCTAAAACTGGAAATAAATGAATTGTCCTTCAGTTGGTGACTGGACTGTATTCGTTATTAATTGCTGTGTAAAAATTACCCTCCAGAACTTAGAGGCTGTTGTTTTGTAGTTTCTGTGGGTCAGGAATCTGGGTGCGGCTGAGCCGAGTGCCTTTGGTTCAGGGTCCCTCACGAGGAAGCGATCAGCTATCAGTCAAAACTGTAGTCATCTTGAGGCTGGTTGGAAAGATGGTCTGATTTCAACATCACTCACAGGAGCATCTCCACAAGGGAGGCCTCACAACAGGGCGGCTGGCTTCCCCCAGAGCAAGCGGTCCATGGGAAAGCAAGGAAGAGCACCCAGGATGGAAGCCACGCCCACTGCACGGCTGCTCTTGGAGGGGACAGCCAGCACTCCAACCTCATCCAGCTTGTTGGATTCAGGCCATATGTCCAGTTGAATCGTGGGAAGAGGTTACATGAGGTGTGAGTGCCTCTGGGTGGGCCCATCAGGAGCATTTCACAGGCTGACCAGTGCATGGATCAACTCCGCAATAAAAAAGGAGGAACCATTATTACACACGACAAAATGGATGCATCACAAATGCATTGCACCGAGTGAAAAAAGAATCAAAAGACTCTAAGTATGATTGCATTTATATGACACTTGGGAAAAGGCAAACTACAGGGACAGTAAGAGATGAGTGGTTACCAGAGGCTGGGTGCAGTGGCCAGGGCTGGGCTGTAAAGGCCGGGGGGCCTGTAAAGAGCAGTGATGTGTTGGCCACAGTTCTGGAGGCTGGAGTCCAAGGTCAGGGTGCCGACACCGATGACAGCCCTCTTGCAGGCTGCAGATTGCCAGCTTCCTGCTTGCCCTCACATGGTGGAAGGAAGGAGCTAGCTCTCCGGGGTCCCTGTTATAAGGGCACTAATCCCATTCATGGAGCCTCCACCACATGACCTAATCACCTCCCAAGGGCTCCACCTCCTAACACCACCGCACTGGGGGGTAGGACTTCAACATATGAGTTTTAGGGGGACACAAACATTCAGACCACAGCAGACCACAGAGGGGCATGTGGTGGTATTGACAAACAGGAATGAGTGTGTTCCTATAAATTTATAGGCAGGTGCATAGAATAAAGGTGAATCTCTCTTTCTGTAAATGTCACTTTTGTTTTAAAAAAAAAAGCCTGAGTAGAATAAATACAAAGAACAATACTCCTAGGCATATCATAGTGAGACACTGGTAACCAAGCATGAATCTTAAAGGCAGCCAGAGGTTAAAAAGGAAAAAAAAAGACAAATTACCTTTAAAGAAGCAGTGGAAGTCCAAAGACAATGAAATAACATATTTAACATGCTCAAATAAAGTAACTGCCAATCTAGAATTTTACAAACAGTAAAATACTTCTGTAAGAACGAAGGGAGTTAAGGATATCTTATCAAAACAAAACAAAACAAAAACTGAAAGAATTAAACATGGGCAGACCCAGAATGCTCAGGTAAAAGAAGGAAAAATGAACAATAAAAAACTAAGTAAAGGTAGGAGGGGGTAAAAATAATATTTACTATTATACACTGATAAATCACATTAACGGGTTATAATTTCAAAGGTAACCACTGAAAGAACAGTAGAGAGGTGTATAATTTCCAAACTATTAGAGTAAAATAGAATAATAAAAAGTCAATCAACCTAGAAGATAGCAAAAGGGGTAGAATAGGAATATCTTCAAGGTACGACAAATTGAAAAGTCTCAGATGGTAGACAAAAAAGCATACATGAAAGTAATTTAAACTCAATTGAATTCCATTAAACTTTAAAAGACTCTTATTTAGTGTAAGTTCACATTAAAAATCAATTAATACAATATTTTAAAGCTTAAAGTTTCTGAAAACATGTAATACATGAGGATGCTGAAAATTTAAATGTGAAGGGATAGAAAAGGAAAAGATATAGCATGCACATATTAAAAACAACAACAGTTCTGTTTGGAAGTTAAAAATTACATTGCTGAGTAATCAATAGATTCAAGAAAGACAAGAACCTAAGTTACTGAAATATAAAATAAGCAACAAAGTCAAATGTTAATTCTTTGAAAAAAAAATCTTTGAAGCATTAATAAAATTGAGAATTCTCTTTCAAGGGTGATAGAGAAATAAAGTGGACACAAGTAGCCAATTCTGGGATGAAAAAGGGGACCCACCACAGATCTTCCAGAAATTAAAAAAATGATAATGATTATATTATAAACAGCTTTATGGCAAAATAAATTTGTGAATTTAGATGAATACTTTTCTCCAAAAAAATTACAACTAACCCAAAATAGAGAAAAGAAATAGGAGAGCTAAATAGTAATGTAAATGTTAAATTATTGCGTTTGTAAATGAGTACTTTCCTACAAGGAAAACTCTAGGCCCAAATGATTTTTCTGGTAAGTTCTCTCAAAATTCTAAGGATGAAATAATTCCACTGTTATACAGACTCTTCCAGAGAATAAGAATGAAGAAGGAGAAGAAAAAAAATTAAAGCAGAAACCTCTCCCAGCTTGCATAAATAACCACTTAATTTATGACAGAATTGGCATTGGAGGAAGAATAATCAATTGCTGTCCATGTGAGGAACAAAAATGAAACTTGACCCCTACCTTAACACTATACACACACAATCCCTGGTAGATTTTAGATCTAAACGTCAAATGTAAAATAAACTTTATAGACGAAAATATAGAATAATAATTTTTTAACCTCAGAGATGGGAAAAGAAAGGACTTCTTAAACAAATTAAACAGGATACAAAAAAGTGCTAACCGTAAAGGAAAAAAAAAAAAATATATATATATATATATACACACACACACACACATATATATGTATATGTATGTAATGGGATAAAATATTTTCAACACATTTAACCAACAAAGGGCCATATTCAGAGTTTACTTAAAAACAAACAAAAACTACTGAACAGAAAAACAGAAAGGACAAATGAAAAGGCATGTCAACATTTTTAATGAAGTCCAACTTTATTCGTAATTAGAGAAATGCACGTTAAAACCGCCACGTGATCCTACTACAGACCCTAT